TGAGGGGGACCACCGTGACCACCGGAGCTACCACCATACGAGGGGCCGCCGTAGGAGTCACCACCGCCGTAGCCACCAGAGCTACCGCCACCGTAGGAGTTACCGCCGCCGTGCGAGGGACGACCACCACCACCACCACCGCCGTAGTAGTCGTCAGAGGCGCCGCCGCCGCCGTTGTAGCCGTATCCGCTCATTTTGGTATATGGGGGTATATGTGAAGGAAAATGGAATCGAGATGGATGAAAAGGAAGGAGAAGATGGGTGAGATGAAATGGATGAAAGAGGAAGAGGGTGAGATTCAGGAGTATCTATTTATGATGGAACCGATGGAGGGGCGCCACGGGTGGGGTATTGCTGAGCCACGGATCTGAGGGGGGACACAGCCACATCGTGTTACCAGCCACAGTAGGTCACTTCCGATCTGGGTTAGTGCAGGATTTTTAATAAACTTCATCCCGCGGTTATGACGTAGGTACACTCCGGAGCAATAGCTGAGAAAGAAAACGCGTACTGAGCCAATCCAGCCATCGCCAAGCAATGAAGCGGCATTGGCTCTTCTCATGAAGCGATATCGGTTGTAGATGAACATGAGAAGGTTCATTGCCGAGAGAATCACTTGGATCTGACCAGAATCTTCAAGAAAAGTTCTTTGATCTGCTCCATATTCTCCATAACTCGCAGCCGGTTCAGCCAACCATTGGAGTTGGAAAGCATCTGATCGACATTAAAATAAAACCATCGCCAGTCCAGCTCATCTACTGCCGGAAGCGATTCCTCCGGTAGGAAGTGGTCATGAATACACCGCACGCGCCAGTATCTCTGCGGGATTAGGGTCCTCCATTGGGGAAATACCCACAGGAGGAGTTTGATATTCCGTCGGCCCGGAAGAAGGTCCATGATCATGAGGACAACATCCATGGGAACGGTGATGTTGCTAGTGCTCGATCTGGATGGGGTATAGGGGAATATTGGGGTCTTGCTATTTCGTGTCTCTCGTCGAATCTTTTCCGACTGACGAAGCAAACCACGAAGTTCCGGGACGTTGAGAGGGTCTCGAGGAACACAGCACCCCTTGGAAGGATGCTGTCCGTTCTTATGGATTTTGAGATACTCCTTTGATCTGTGATAAAACCTGTCTAGTTGACCCCAATGTTCCGGGTAATCATCAGCAAGCAAATCGTCGGGCTCGAACTCATTCCGCTTCGCTTGATGGCATAGTGCCCTGACAAAGAGATCAAGATGCTCCTCAATAAGGTCCACGTCCAGAACCCGTGTCATCAACACCCAGCACTGTTCGTGCATAGAATAGGCTTTATGGCTTAGCCGGTTAGCGTTAGTCCTGGACATGCCAGCGTACACTCTTATGAAACCAATTTTCGGCCTCAGGATTAACTCATCAGGGTCCTTTGGGAGCCTAGAAGGACTTTCACAATCCCAGCCATTGTGAATGGTGACCCCGGAGAGCTGAAATCCGCATCTTTTATTTCCGGGGATCTGGATAACTGATGAGTTTTCGTCAGTTCAATCCATTATTTATCTGAAGATATATACCCACTTGCGCGGAAGAGACAGTCCCATATCCATGGTGTCTTGAAGTACATTGTATTCAGTTCATCGGGCCTGACAATGGCAGGAAGGCCTTTTTCCAATCATCTCGTTCCGAGAATATTTTGCTCGTACCTGCAAGCTGGTTTGAACGGGGCTCTTGTTGGCCATGGCCACACAAAAGGCATAGAGGCAACCAATCCATTCTGGCAGTCGTGGTGGTCTGGAAATGTTCTTGTATGCAGCTTATTTATACCAAACGGCGAGGCGTCATAATTACCAGCATACAATTGGGCACAGATATGATTACGAAACCCTAACATGAGAGGAGAAGGTAAAGAAGAAGAGAGAAGAAAAGAAACAAAGAAGAACCGCTAATCCTCATCGTCCGAATCATCAGGTTCCTCTTCTTCATCGTCGTCATCGTCGTCATCGTCGTTGTCTTCCACTGCTTCCTCTTCTTGTCCATCATCATCATTGTCATCATCATCCTCCTCCTCCTCCTCCTCGTCATCGTCATCATCTTGGTACACATCATCATAGATCAGATTTAGCATGTCTTGGACACCGTAGCAATCCCTCCCAATGCAGAGGGGGTTCTCATTCCCTCCCGGGGCCAAGGGTTGGACCAGTCTTTGGGCGTAATTATACTGATAAAACCTGGCGTAGCGTCCAACTGCAATGGCCCCGTAGACAGAAGTTTGCTCCTGCGCTATCTTCCACCGGCAGACCTTAGCGAGAATGTTACCCCCCCATCTACTCGGCCCCTGTGTCCCAAACGCCACCCTAGCTCTCGTATTCCGGCCCTTTGCATTGCACGATCAGGATAAACCGGTTCTTCCTGTCTCGCCTGCCCTCGACCCGCATTCGGTGGTATACGGCGAGGTCCAAAACCCCCAGCTCGTTTTTCTCCTCGGGGCGCGTAACGAATCGGTGTCTGGGAGGGGGGATTGTTCGCCCAAGATGCTAACCCAGACCCCGGCGACTTCGTCCCATGGAAGTGGAGTCCTCAAATCTAGCAAAACCAGTAGGTCATGAACGGGAAGTTGGACTCGATGTCTCTCCTTCGAGGTATCAGCTATGCGCGGAGTCAAGTTGCACTATGCCTCCTGCGTCAGCTCCCAGTTTTTGCCCTGAATCTTGTGGATCGGAGATGATGGAAGGGCAGCGAGACCTTGTCGGATTGCTTCCGGATAAGAGCTACGATCACCATATGTACATCTCTCGGAAGGGTTCTGGAACTCTACCCTTCCAGACTCTGGAGGAAATCATTTTGTCATCGCCATTATTTCCCTGTGTTGCCCCTGTGGGGAGAGGGCTAGTGTTGAACAAAAAGGACCGTTTCTACCTCGCAAAGGAATTTGCACACAGCGTTCTCAAATTTCAAGGAAGCTGGCTTTGTGCAAACTGGAGCATCCACGATATCATGCTACCCAAAGAGTTTGGAAAGAGTTTTTATCCGATTGACCGACCATTCTTGATGTGGAATGTCTTAACCCACCCAGAGGCGACGACCAGCCATACACCCTCTTCAGTCATTCGCCATGAGACTCTCTTTCCCTTGGGACTGGCTCTTATTGAACTATCACTGGGCCGTACTATTACTGCCCTAAGGATTCCCGAAGATGAAAACCCTGACGAGAAAGTGGCACTTCTGAAGACTGCCAATCGTTGTATCGACTTTGTTTATGGAGAGAGTGGTACAATATACGGCGATGTGGTCCAGCAGTGCTTGTTCTGATCTCATACTCGCGAGACTGATCTGGATAGTGAGGAATTCCAAGATACGGTTTTTCGGCATATCATTTCACTATTGTTAGTTATTGTGAAGAACTTCGACAAACCAGCAAGATTTAGGTTCTAGGTATGTGACCATATTCCTTCGACGTGTGGCTTGGCACAGAGTTGCAAATAGATGTCATACTTCGTGATCGGACAAACATTTTGATCATTTAAGGTTGCTGGCATCTTGAGTTATTATCTGTTAGCGTACGGCGTTATATTCAATCTTAGATATTTGACTCCAGCAATCTAAATTAGCAACATTGAAAAGTATGTAGCTCCAATGCATGAGGTGATGGAACATCTTGTATACACTGTTATCTCCGGTGGATAGTGTCCAAAGGGGATATAAACACTATGCATAGTTAGTCATAATTAGAGCAGTTTGTGCGCAAATTAAAGAATATGATTGGTGGATAGAAGCCAGCAATGTTCCAACTTCGTATCAGCCATATACGGTAGTCAACATCCCATACTCAGATATCTCAAGCTGGCTACTTTTCAACCCATCCAACATCCAAGATGTCTTCTAATCCCCCATCCCAAAGCAACCTCTCCATCATCGCCACCCTCCTAAAAGCCACCCCACCCCCCAAAATCGTCGCCCTTGTCGGCGCTGGCATCTCAACAGCAGCCAACGTCCCCGACTTCCGCTCCGCACAAACAGGCCTCTACGCCAAACTCGCCCCGCTCAAACTCCCCTACCCCGAAGCAATCTTCGACATCAACTTCTTCAAACACACCCCCGAGCCATTCTACGCGATTGCCCGTGCCCGCAAACCCCGCAATCTGCGTCCGACGCTCACGCATGCGTTCCTTGCCCTTCTAGCGAAGAAGGGCCTGCTTCATTTCATATTTACGCAGAATATCGATGGATTGGAAGAAGACGCTGGTGTTCCGGCGAGCCATGTCTTGCCTGCGCATGGGAATTGGAAGTCGCAGCGGTGTTATCGGTGTAAGAGGGGGTATCCGGATGAGTTGATGGAGAAGGCGATTGAGACGGGTGAGGTACCGTATTGTCTTAATGAGGGGTGTGTGGGGGTGGTTAAGCCGGATGTGGTGTTTTTTGGGCAGGATTTGCCTAGAGAGTTTGAGGAGAAGGAGAGAACGAAGTTGGCTGAGGCGGATGTTATGCTTGTGCTTGGGACTTCTTTGAAGGTTGCGCCTTGTTCAAGGTTACCGAGGGGTGTGAGGGAGGGTGTGCCGAGGGTTTTGATTAATCTGGAGCCTGTCGGGGATGTTGGAAATAGAGATGGGGACGTCGTTGCTTTGGGACAGTGTGATGAAGTGATTAGGACGTTGAGTGAGGAGCTGGGGTGGGCAGAGGAGTTGGATGGTTTGTGGAAAGAAGCTGTTACAGCTAAGGCGCACTGTGAAAATGATCAGGGAGAGCAGTCAAGCTTGGATGAGTTGATTGCAAGGTGTGCTGAGAAGATCGGGCCAAAGCCTGTGACTGATGGTCATCGGCGGATGCTAGAGGAGCATCTTGGTGCTAAGTTTGCGGGAATCTTACCTGGTAAGGTTTGAGATGGAAGTGGACAAGCGAAAGTCCCATCTGAATATTTCTGACATTGCATATCTCTATACACTCGATGCAAGAGCCAGGAATATGTTATCCCCAACACACGTGATATTCCACGCCCTAGGCCTCGTACAACAAACCATCCATGGTTCAGGATACTGGGACCCAAGTATCTGTACAAGGGCCTTTTGGTTCTAGATCTACGTATATCGAGAGGTCACTGCAACATTATACTTTCTTTTATGGGCAACCAGCTAGATAATTATGTACAGGGCTTGCAGACACTGAAGTCGTCGAACCGTAATCATAGCCTTCGACCCATTCGAAGTCATGGCGCCTTCCAGATATGAGTTACGCATCGTATGTTGAGATCCATGCTGACTGCGCTCAAAGCTTAGATCGCTTCTGGATAGCCTCAGTATTCCTCAAAGCAGCCCGAGAATTCTCATTCAACTTCTTCCACATATTCTTGCGGCGATCATGTCCGTCAAGGAATGCCCTCACCCACTCGCGGCGAAATTTAGGCAGCTTGCGACCTTTACCCTCTTCTCCCTCGCCGGCTAGTCGTCTCACTGTCTCAAAGTAGTCTTCAAAATTCGGGAAGAGCAGTGTGAATTTCACGCCATCACCCCGAACCTTCACGCGCTCTGCTTCCCATCTCCTCATCTCGTCCAGGGGTGGCAGAGTGGCCCGGCCGGCAAGCAGTCGTGCGGCAAGAACCGATTGCCATTCGAATACCTTGAATGTCAGACCAGCCGCGACGGCACCGATAAACAAGAGTGTCGGGTCTTTTTGCCAAACAACATGCTGGTACAGTTCAGGGACCCGGTTGTTGCGAACTGGAACTTGTGGTAGAAATGGCAGTGTCCAGCTGTAGCCTGTGCCGAAGATGATATGGTCAACATCCGTGATGCTGTTACCATCTACCAGGTGCACGGTCCTGTTCGAAACCCGTTCTATTGATGGATGATTCTGTATCTTCGGGTTGTTAAACGCTTCGTCGCCAAAGTACCCATTAGCTCCATGTCCAATTGTGATTGCATGGACTGGAGCCTTTGCTACTTCCGCAAGATCGAATGCGATGTCGGCCGCTGAAACCGATGCCCCCACAACGACAACTCGCTAAACAGCAAGGTCACGTTAGTTTAGTGATCATGTGTGCAATTAGAAGGATAACTTACTTTGCCTGCAAACGCCGCTTGACCACGAAAATGCTTACTGTGAAGCACGCTTCCCGGTCTCGCCTTCTCGAATTCCTCTAGGCCTTCTATTGAGGGTATGTATGGTACCCAGTAGTGCCCATTCGCCACGACAACGGCATCAAACCACTCAACCCACCAGTAGTCACTCTGCTGTCCATCCTTTCGGAGTGTTACTTTCCACTCCGCTCCCACCTTCTCGACCCGCTCCACTGTAGTATTGTATGAAACCCAGTCGCTGTAGCCCCGGCGCTCCACGAGACCCTTGACGTATCTCTGAACCACGTCCCACCTGCGGAAAGGGGTCTCGGGTCCGTGGCGCGATATAGAGAGCTCGCTCCGCTCCTCCGGAATAGGTTCCTGGCTGAACTGCATGGGCAAACAGTCGATATTTGTTTCCAGGTACGGGTAAACGGACGACTCAGAAAATCGAGGTTGGTCGGACTTCGGCGTCTGCGCGGGCAGTTTCTCAGGAATAGGTAATGGGGAATCAGCAGTTCTCGTGGCCAAAGATGCGAAATCAGAGAGCGTTGGAGGCTGGGCCGAGTCGCCAATCCTGATATCGCCCATCATTAGGCATTGTCAGCCATCTCGAGCCAATTCTAAGGGCGAATACAAAACACACCAGCAGCCCCCTGGGGCCTCGCGGCGCTCGAACACACGGATAATGTCGAAAGCCTTTTCTTGTGCCAGCGCGTCCACCGCAATGGCCCCTGCCGGGCCGGCGCCGATGACGGCTACCCGTTTAACGTGCACGCCAACCATAATCAATCCAATCGCTATTGAAACAACGCAACAAATTTGAATGTATCATCGCGATATACATTTGTAGAAGTAATACTCCATACATGTAAACGAATTGTCTTAGCAAATCCCGGCGCTGCGGTATTTATACCAGATCCCGGGTTGTGCCTTCATCACGCAATCTGATGCCATCCCGCGACACATAGGGCTTTTAGTGGCCAAACACGAAGCCAAGCAGATCTTCGTACTGTACAGCCCGATTTCCACTGGAGACTTCGCTTAACTTCAACAAGAACAGATATTATGCTCATGTCGTTGGTTAAGGTGATAAATAGTTAATTGCTAGGGGTGATAATAATAGAGTACTTGAGGGCCCGAACTATTTGCTGCAGTCGGTATTTGCCAGATTCATCTCTATTTGCCTTTAGAGTCGCCAATATACCAACAAGGACTTTCTTTCTGCTAGTATGGATATTGAAGTGAAAGATGAGAAGCAACAATTCAATGGCAGTTCCTCTGAGGATTTTACTGCAGCGACGCTGTCCGTGGCGCCTGAATGGGATCCCGGCCTTGAAAGGAAGGCTCGCAGAAAGTAGGACTCTTTACATGATAGAAAAATTTATACGCTGACACGCTTTCTCCCCAAGAGTTGACTTTTCCGTGCTACCTCTGCTTTTCCTCGGTCTCTTTGCTTTCCAGCTGGATCGCATGAACATTGCGAGCGCATTGACTGGTGGCTTCGCAACTGATATCGATGTCTCCCAGGCTACGATTAACCTGGGCAACCAGCTAATGTTCATGGGTATCGTGGTCTTCGAGATACCATGCAATATGGCCCTGCAACGAGTGTGTATTAGCTATCTTAGCAAAAAAGAGTCTTGGATCTAATGGGAAACTTCCGCAGGTTGGTCCTCGGAAGTGGATCTCAGCTCAGGTTTTCATCTTCGGCCTACTTGCAACAATGCAAGTATTCATCCGAGATCGAGGGGCATTCCTTGCCACACGGCTGCTTCTAGGGTTGGCTGAGGCAGGCTATATTCCTGGAGCAGTTTATACTTTGTCGACGTGGTATACAAAACGAGAATTGCCCAAAAGGCTCGCCGTTTTCTTTTTCGGCATGTTTGGCGGCAATGCCGTGAGTCCTCTGCTGGCCTCTGGCATACTGAAACTCGACGGTCAGCGTGGTATTAAAGGGTGGCAGTGGCTCTTTATAAGTACTTTTGCTCGCCCATGTTAATCTAAGCGCAAGGTTCTATTCTAACATATGGTTCAAATAGTCGAAGGCCTCTTCACGATCTCCGTATCGTTCGTCCTCCTATTACTCCTACCTGGATCTCCCGACCTCCCCAGGCCTCTACTTAGCCCGGGACTTATCAAGTTTTCTGATTCTGAGAAGGACACTCTTCAGCAACGACTTGAATACGATGATAGCGAAAATCGCGGAGGCGCTCATGGCCTGCAAATTCCTCTAAGGATCATCTGGCGTACTGTGTCTCACTACCGTCGCTGGCCGCACTTTGTTTCTACATTCGTCGTATTTTCGACATGGAGTCCCCTGACAACTTACACACCGTCCATCATCATGTGAGTTTTGTGCACTGCCGTTGGTACCAAATCAAGGGTCCGGGGCAACGATACCATGGAGTCACAACTAACTACTAATCTACAGGTCCCTCGGCTTCGACAGAATTCCAGCCAACGCTCTGGCCGCAGTTGGCGCCTCCCTAGCTCTCGTCGTAGTGTTCTGCTTCGCCTCCATGGCCGACCGGATTAAATTCCGAGGCGTCTCTGTCATAACTGCCCAAGTCCTCTACCTTGCTACCCTCATAGTGGCTCTCCAGGTCCAGCCTCATGTCGGCAAATGGTCACGGTGGGGACTTTGGACTGCTGTGAACAGTTTCGCGGTTGGATACCATCCGATACATGTCTCTTGGGTTCAGATGAACTGCCGGGATCCGAGAGAGAGAAGTATCAGTATTGCGTAAGTTTGTTCGCGTATTTGTCATAATGTGGTCGTCGCTGATGGAGAACCTTGAATTAGCATGTGGGTTATGTCTGCGATTGCGGGTTTAATGGCTGGGGCGCAATATTTTCAAGTAGAAGACAAGCCACTGTAAGTTATGTCCATCCCTCCTCGTTGCGGAACAGCTTTTTTCTTCTAACGTTAACACTATCAAGCTATTCGACGGGCTTACGGACCATGATTATCATGGTATCGGTAGGAGTTGCAAGTGCTTTGGTACAGATCATCGTGTACGTCGTACACAATAGGCGCGTTGCTCAAGGCAAGCATCGGCCCAAAGATGGATTAACACCTATGGTATATATTCCGTGAGCGGAGGGGGCTTGTATTATTTAAACAAAAATTCTTTTGATGTGTTTAATTGGATAGGCGTCGCATACACATGAGGTGTGTTTCAACATTAGGTATTGCTGTTATATAACCGCGTAGCTTGAAAGGGCTCGGCTGCTTGTGAACATCAACACAAGATACTAAGCACCAATAAAGACTAACCAAGAAACCCATGCACAACCCTCTCCAGCTCATCATCACTCATAACTCGTATCCCCAAGCGCTCATTCCAGGAAGCTTCTTGAAATCCCTCCCGCCATATCCCTCCTCGTACATCATCACATAGTAATAATTGAGCATACCGGTCATATCCCCCGCTTCCAACTGCTCCTTCGCCTTCTCCATCAGCTCACCAACACTCACATCAGGGATTCTCCCATCCTCAACGGAACCAAAGTCAACACCCAATATCTTGGCCACCATCGCAGTCAACTTCCGCTCCGTGACAGCAGCAGAGTAGATGTACACTGCCTGGTTCGCCGTATCCGCGAAATTCACAGGATCCAAAATGCGAACAATAGCATCAGCAATATCAGCCAATGTAGAAGGCCCGATCTCGTTGTCCCCGCCATTATGGAAGACAGCCTGTTTGGTCATCGGGTTGGGGCCCAATGCGCCAAACTTGATGGTAATATCGAGGAATGCACCGTTGTTCAGCGAGGTCCATGTCATCGGTGCGGAAGGGCTGTCGAGTTTCGACGTGAGGTATTGGCGTACTTTCACTTTTTCAGTTGCGACAGGGAGTTGAATGGCTAGAGGGGATTCTAGGTTTGTGGTGAACTCTGAGGGGATGATGCGTTTCACGGATGCGGCGACGGCAGCGTCTATCCATATTTTCTCGTTTTCGAAACTTGGCGCACCAACGGCGCTTTGGAGACGTTAGAAATCTGGACGATTCAGTTGACACATGCATAAGCTCACCTGATGACAACATCCTGTCCCTTGAAAACCTGAGTTAAGCCGGCCTCATCGCTGAGATCCGTCTTCACTACTTGTAGCCCGGCGGGAAGTGGCTTCTGTGAGTCTTTGCGCTGGATGGCAGTGACAGTGTAGCCGGACGAAACTAGAGCAGTGGATATACGACTTCCCAGTAAGCCACTGGCCTGGTCGATCGTTAGTATGTGATAGTGATTCGGACTTGGATGTGCATACCTGATAATCGCGATGTTTTTATAATTCGTTTCTCTGCATAGTGAAGAATGTAAAAGACACTCAGCTTTGAGATCAACCCCGAGCATGAGTAAACATTCGCTACTCGGTGACTCGGCGTTGAGAACAATCCCGAACCTGAATTATCTCCAATTTGGCTTATTGAAGACTAAGTAGATATTTAATTCATATATTGATGATGAGAGACTGGAATACAGAGGAAAGAGAAACGTGAAAACGTGCCGAGCACAATCGCCCCTCGCCCAGGTACATCACAACAACGGCTCCCAAAGCCATTCCATGCCGGGTGAAAGGATTTCCGAATTAGAGGCAAGTTCTCCCAACGGAGCACCCATAAAAGAAACATTTCCTGCAAGCTGACTAGATAGCGCTACTCCTATCTTAGCCGCCCTCGACTGTGCTGCGCGTTCCATCAATCGCGAGATAAATTTTCGGAGCATGAGACTTGTCTGTGTATCATCTTCCTCCCATTGTCGATATACCTCGGTCACCACTTCCCATGCGTGATTAGTTTCGGGGGTTATTGGGCAAGCGCATAGTTCTGAGAGGATGAATGCGATGACATGCCATTGTTTGTAGCTTTTGCTTAGCCAGGCCCATTGAGAGGTAGACTCGTTGGTGTGCAGTAAGTGTGCAAATTTGACAACCTCGATGGCCATGTTGAAAGCTTCGTCATCGGGTTCCTGGGGAATGACTGATTCATCGTCTTTGACTGTTGATGTCCTGTAATGGGCTAATAGCCATGATTTGGAGAGAGTAAGTCTGGCGATTGTTGCGTACATTCATTGAACCGGGACGTCCAGATCCAGTTGTTTCAGGTATTGATCCTCGAGTCGATTTGCCAGGGGTTTTACACGATTCTCTTGACCGCTTCTGGACAAATTTGCTCCGATTGGTTTATTCGGCCAGTAGAGGTTCGCGATTACCTCACACTGGACAATACGAGTGTGATATCTGTACAACCAACTGTTCCAGGCGGCATCTCCGTTAAAGGAGGAGTAAGCACATCAGTCAACATTGGATGGAAGCCTCGTGTCAAACATCCCAGGTTGAATCTGAGAATCCGTCCCTTGGTCTCCTGAGCAGAGCATGTCCAAGATGCATATATGCCACCATATTCGACGTCGGATTTCCGCATCGAAAGGACTCAATCCCAAATACTGCCCATCGCGATGGAGACCCTGTCCTTGAGCAACGCGGACTACCACAGCAGACGCGGCCCATACAAGTCTCGTATCCCCTTTCCGGCGGAGGCATAGCAAGAATAGCACGGCTGCTTGTAGAACATGGATGTTCTGAGACTTGATAAAGTTGGCTCTAACCAAGGCTTGGTCTGTGGCAAATCTGTATTTTTGAATGGATGTTTCGCTATTTTCACCTAAAGCTTCCAAGCACTGCTTCGGGTCCATACTGACAATGACAGCGTAGCATACTGAGAGCAGCAAAGCCTCACGGGCAGGATCTGGGTTGATATTTTCAGATTCTTGACAAACCATTTCATCAACAGATGGTCTGTTAAGGGTCGCTATCAGCGGTGCAACGTTGATTTTATAGACACGCCACAGCTCCTGAATTCGCGAAGGGTCTAGATAGCTGCTGTGCAGGACATCAGGAATCCAGTCATTTCCTAGCACACTGACAAAACGCAGGGCAGAAGCATCTGGCTCGTCGAAATCCTCTTCAGAAGATGAATCACTACAAATGTCCTGCAATTCTCGAATCTACGACATTAACTTATATACAACATGAACGCAGGAAATCGAACTAACACACCTTATCCCCAAGAACAGCAGACGCCTCATCACCCACATATCGACTTTTCCCTTCCTTGACTATGAACCTACCCTCATAATTGTTCGTATGCAATGCATCCGAACGCGAAGACACACTCGAAGACACGTCATGATCACCCGCAGGAGACCCCGAACGAAGTCCCTCTACCTCCTCCTCCAATTGCCTCAACCGCGCAACAACCTCAGAAATAGGTGGCCGCCTAAGTTTCCGGGGTGCCCGTTTAGGTTCCGGGAATACACATCGTTCTCCACCTTTCACGCAACGGCCACATGGATCATTCTTGTCGCATCGGACTTTCCTGCGGTTGCACTGGGTGCAGCTTCGGTTGTATGAGCTATTCCGGCCGGGAGATGAGGGTAGGCTGGTTTTTGATTGGTTGAGTTCTTGCATCTTGTGACATAGTTACCCTGGTAGGCACTCAATGGGACTGTTGGTGAAATCCAGGGCATTCTATGAGGTGATTAGTGACGTTGGTCCCGCTTCGGGGTTGATTTTAATTTTTGTGAGGGATGTATTGATAATATTGCTATATAATAGTAGTAATAATAGTCGTATCAATATCATTACAACATGAAAATAAAACAAAGGAAATGGTTGTAGAAAAGAATGATGAGGTCCAAGCCTGTGACTCGGCGCCGAACAAAGAAAGAGGTAGGGACCGAGGAGAGACCCATGAGCCAATTCTGATGGGCTAGCAAGCCGTGCTCCCTAGCTGGGGCGTTCCGTGTGCTGGAGCGTTCCGTGTGCTGGAGCGTTCCGTGTGCTGGAGCGTTTATCTGCTCAGCTTGGCGAATCCTCCAGGGATTCATCTTAATTCATATAGCCAATGGAAAGATGTCCTTGAGATATATATCTCATCACGACCCATTCATGACAAGCACTGTCATAATAGTAGCATATCTATACCACATAAAGTACATTAGCAACTATACCCTCCATCACAGAAAAGATATACTAACATAGCACTCGCAGCAAGAACCTCAATACTCCTCGCCTTCGTAAACCCAGACATCATCGCGATCAAGCCCATAACCGAGATCGCAGTAATAGCCACTCGAGCAGTGAGACTGGGCACAAAGTTGCATACGAGCATGGGGAATAGGAGGACTGTTGTGACCATAGCGGCCATTGATACTCGGGCGACTCTTTTTGCGAGGAATGCTGATGGAACGGAGACGTCATCGGGTTGTGTGTCTTGGGTTGATTGTTTCTGCTATTTCTAGTCAACGCGTGTTAATCCTGGGCGTAAGTGGTAAGACCCTAAACTGACCTTGTAATAACTTCGAAAGAACGGAACTAACGCATCCTCCACGGACCGTTCAAGCCGTGACAACGGATCCTCATCTTCCGAACGAAACGTAAACAAATCCTTCCCATGTCCGAGATACCTGCTTTCCTCCTTTGCTATACAACCATTCCCATCAACCCATTTCATCAACCCCTCAACATCCCGCCTTTGTGCCTGCGTGAAACGAGCAACTCGTGCGCTTCGCTCAACAAGTTCATCTGCCATTGCCATTAGCACATACCAACCAATACCTTCCAAGACCAGGAAAACAAACCATATCCAGCCAACTCCCCCTCAATCTGCAACAGTACATTATGCCTCTCCTGATTCCGATCTCTCCGTCTACTCCCCAGAAATACCTTACACTTCTCTGCCCGATCGATTTTATCAAGTTTAGTCTCGAGGGCGGATAGCGAGTCTTGTTTGGAGAGGAGTAGTCGTGTGCGGAGGGTCGAGAAACGTCGGTAGATTTGGGAGGTTTCGTCGGCTGCGACGTGTGCTGAGAATCGGGGGTATCCGGCGGGTTGGTCTTCGGGGGATTGTTGGGGGGCTGGGACTGGGGGTTGGTTAGGTTTGTGTTTGGTTGTTTTGTAGGGGACGAGGTGTCGTGCTTACCGGCTTGTATCATTTGTTTCTCGATATCGTCGCTGGGTGGGCTGCGACGGCCACGGGGGGATTTGGTTAAGGGTTGCATGTTTGTGAGTTCTCTGGTTATATTTTCAAACTTCTAGTTGAATGTGAGATTCGTTTCAATTACATCGCGTCCTCTTATAAATGGCATTATAGCCTCATTCCCAAAAACCAGCCTCCCTGACGTGTCAGAACTCGCTGCATATAATGACGCTGCTCAACCCAATGGTTACATATGTCGGTGGACAGCTGGTGAGCTCGGATAGGTACCTCGACTGCAAATCATGTTTGCTATGTTGATGAGTTTGCTAACTACGGCCTAACAGCTGTACACTGTGGCACAGAGGACTTTGAAGGACCGACTATTATTAAATAGCGTATCATATCGTGCATCGAGCACTAATGTAACTGTATTTTTAGATAGGATTATGATTGGTAAGATGTAGGGTTTGCTATGCCCTGTATGGCTGTCTTGCTATGGCTGCCTAAGGCACACTATCACTGCGAAGACAATTGAGCTCTGAAAGGGAAAGGGAAAAAGCAAAGTCTAGAAATCCGGTACATATGTACTGTATGTAAACTAAATTGGACAAAACAATCTATCCAACCACTCATCCAAGCAGGGTATGCAGCTCAAACAAACAGCAAAGCAAGAACACTCTAAGGGTACTAACAAAGCAACAAGAAAGAATGGCAAAAGAACGTGAAGAAAGAATGTAAAAGGGAAAAGAAAAGAAAAGAAAAGAAAAGAAAAGATCACCACTCATCGTCATCATCCTGCTTCCCCCTCATCGCACTCTGCCGCGCCCGCAATGCCTCTGCCAATCCACCTGCCAAACTGGCGTTCGTTGGAGTCGCTCGTCCACTGTTCGACTCCTGATTCATGCTAACGGCACTGTCTCGAGGTGCCGGCGGAGGTGCCGGTGCCGTCTTCCTCCCTGCCATGTTGGGTCTCTTAGCTGGTGGTGCTGGCGGTGCGGGCTTGGCCTTGGCTGCTGCTGCCGTGGCGGCTCCGTTCGGCGTCGGACTGGGGACCGCTCGGGGCGCGGCTGGTGGCGGTGGCGGGGGTGTCGGCTTGGGTGCCGGTGCGGCTTGCTCTTCCAGGTAGGCTTCAGGTGCCCAGCCTTGGACGGAGGTCGTCATGTTCATACAAAGCCACCATCCTATGTCTAGTTAGCAGATGTCTCCCAGGATGAAGAAAGTTTGTAACATACCATTTCCTTCCCGGGACACCACTTGAACGATTTCACCTTGCCGGACAGACAATTCGTTGGCCTGAACACTAGAGAAATCATACAATGCCTTGGCAACCGGTTTCTTCGGTGCCGCTGCAGCCGCTGGCGGCGCAGGCGGGGGCGGCGGAGGAGCCTTCACAGAACCCGAAGAGCCGGTCCGGCTGTGTGCAGTTGCGGCAGCTGCTACAGCGGACACGGATTGAGGAACGGGCTTATGTTGGACAGGCGCCGGTGCGGGGACACTTGCCCCAGGCAAAGGTTGAGGCGCTGGTGCAGGTTTAGGTCGGGATGCCAGCTTGGACGGACCGCCTCCAGGGCCTCCAGGACGAAGCAGCTTGCCGGTCGTAACAGGTCTGGCTGCCACCTGTTTCGGCCGTGGTGTTGGCTTGGAGACAGCGTTGGCAGGCTCTCCCTGGCCTGTGTGGATTGTACCACTCTTGTACAAGTCATCTCTCACAACGAGAGAATCCTTGATGGCCTTGACCGTAGCAATTTTGCCGGGCTTCTTGTTGTACTCAACGCTAGAAATTGTCAGTTTGAAATCAATCAAATATACGCGCTAGTGGAGACATACTGATCTGCTATCTTCAGATTCAACGAGCCACGGAGAGCAGTGCTGAGGTGGGTGAAAAATTCCGTCTTGAAAACGCAGTTCAGAAGAGGATCAGGTTCCTGCGGGCTGCCGACAAGAAGAGAGAACCAGTCGTCCTTAAGGTTCGAACAGCTGACGCTCTTTATTGCACCCACTGGGATCGTTCGCTCCGACGAGATCACCAATTGGTTGTTGACGAGGTTTTGCGCGACAATAAACACATGTCGGTTTGTCTGTAGAAAAAATATGGAATGAGTAAAAGATATGACCGGTATGATGTTTATAATACGTACCAAGACAAGCATTCTAGGAGTAGGCTTGCTAGACCGACCAAATTTGGAAATCAAAACCTCACCACGACATGAGAACAGGACATCCTCTGCTCCTGCGGCTTTATTAGTCGTAGTCCACAATGAAATCAAGATATGACACTTACCGCTGATACCAGCATTGCTGCGGATCATCTCTCCTGGACCGCCCTTGTTCGCCACACCAAGATAATCACCCAGAAACCGACGAGAACCAAGCAAACTCATCCGTCGGCGTTCCTTGCGGTTCTGGAGGATCTTGTGGCCCTGATCACGAACCTTGATATACTCAAGACCGCCAGTCATGCGACGCCAGAAACGCTGGATGCGGGTAGCACATTCTGTGCGGTACCGCAGATAGTTTCGCCAAGCACGCTGGATTCGAATGGCCATGTTGTGCCAGTAACGGTCACGCATCGCTTCCAGGGCAAAGAGCGTCTCTGGGGTCTTGACAAATACCTTCGAGATACCCATCTGGTATTCTTCTGTGGGGATACTAGTGTCCTGTAAGATCTGGCGAGCTCCGGTCTCGACGTCACCAGTCCATGTGTATTCGCCGGCATAGGAAGTCTTCGGGGACAGTAGATAGAAACGCTCCACGAACTTGTCGAAAGTTTGACGGTAAGCGAAACCAGCGCGTCGGATCCGAACGTTCTCTTGGAGACCCAGGTACTTGATCTGATGCAGGACATTTCCAACATTGTACTCCTTTGGCGCCTTGTTGTCATTGGGTTTGATTGTTCGGATGTAAGACGGTTGAGCCTTCATCAGAGTCGCCACCAAGTCGTTTGCAGAGGTCTTAATCTTGTCGCTAGCGGTGGGCGGGCGTCTCTTGTCATCCTGGTTAACCTGGTTCGGGAAGAGCGTGTGGACAAACGGGTTGTTACTCGACCCAACGAGGTTCAGCAGGTCCTTAAGCAGGGCATCCTTGTTCTTGTCAGTCATTCCTTGAACCGAGTAGCTGACATCACCAGCGTAGTGCTTGACGATGAATTGACCCTGGCGACTCTCGAAGTTGGGGTTCTGTCCCAAAAAGTTGAGACGACCGACGAAGGTGTTATCCGCAGCACCCGAATCGGCGTGAGCCGTCGCACAGGCATCGTTCAGAGCAGCGAAAACACCAGGAGGGCGCTTGTCTTCGATTAGCGAACACACCACTTTGTTATCGAAGTAGGTAATGGGTGTCCACTTGATCTGTTCACGAGCATATTCATCTTGTTCAGCCTTCAGGGTCAACTGAATGAAAATCTGTTGCAGCTTCTCGTTCACATAGTTGATACAAAGCTGCTCGAACGAGTTCTTCTCGAAGATTTCGAATCCATAAATATCCAGGATACCGATCGAATTGGAAATCGAGCTTCTGGCGGTCAAGGAAGAGTTGATGCGCTCCACGATCCAGTCGAAGAGGTTGAAATAGATTGCCTTGGACAAGGCGTCACGGACAGCGAGTGCCTGTGTCGTGTTCAAGGGCACTTCATACACCGATCCTCGGCGTCCACCACGTGCCGTCTCCATCAAGCGGATTGTCATAGCTCGGTGCACTGACGGCGAGTCAACATCGAGCAAGTATGCGACGTATGCGATAACCGACTCGTCTGCGATAGCGGAGTTCCCTTGATCGTCCTCGACAAACTGAATGTTTCCAATCCACAGAATCGCCGCAAGCATGCGGAAAACGTCGTCCTGCTCCGCCTCCGTCATACCAATGACACTCATTGCATTCAACGTATCCTGAAATTCGGCATTATCGTCCACTCCTGGCACATCGAAGCACTTCGACCGGCTCGTATACATGTAGGCTTGCGGTTGCTGTACACCGAACAGATCTAAATGATGTGTAAGCCAATGTGTACGGAATAATCAGTATTGGCCAGTCCCTACCTCTGTACTTTTGCGGAGCCGCCTTGGTGAACTGGTAGAAGATGTGGAAGTTCCGCTCATTCGTGATCTGTCCGACAACTCGCGACTTCTCGAGCAGGTAGTTGGTGATGTGCGCACCCACAGGCTCACCCTGGGCGTTGAATTCCAGTTCCAGGTACTTTCCGAACCGCGACGAGTTGTTGTTGCGCAGGGTCTTTGCGTTACCAAAGGATTCGAGCAGAGGGTTGGTGGCCAAAACCATGTCCTTGGTCTCCTGAATGGAGGAGTCACTGCCGCCGGATACACTGGCAATGTACTGCATGATCCGCTTCGCAGCTTCCGTCTTTCCAGCACCCGATTCTCCTGAGATAATCACACATTGGTTGTCCTTGTATGCGTTCATGTTATAGTAGGCGGATTCGGCCACGGCGAAGACATGGGGCGGGACTTCGAGACGGTTCTTATTCCGGTAGGATTCGAGGACCTGGTCAGTGTAGATACCCACTGCGAGCTGTCAGTAAAGGAACTCGATGTATTTGCATGGAGCAGTTGACGTACAGTCTCTGAAGGGGTTGACAGACACCAGAACGTGTCCGATATAGGTCTATCAAGGTACACTGTTAGCCCCTGATCCCATATCCAGCGCGCATGGCGCTGCGATTCCCGTATAACCAAGCAACAGGTATCTTACATAGATCTCGCCATGTTCGAATCGAAGCTTCAGGTTATCGTTGATGGCCTCGTTGGAGATCTTGCTGAGCAGCGTAAGGTCCGACACTCCGATCTCCTTTTTCTTCGTAGTCTCGAACACAGCCTTCTTAACCTGAGGCTTTCCTCCTGCTCCTCGACCATCGCCAATGTCAGCCGCAGCTTTCGAGCGACCGAAGCCTCGACTCTTCTTCTCTCCGCCAACGGGTCGTCGCGAGTGTCCCTGAGAGCGATCGCATATTAGTCTCGCGTGTCTGGAATAGTATGACTGCGAGGGATCGACTGTAGTAACAAGACTCAACTCACCATGATTGTGTGTTACGCGATTGTTCCTGAATTCGCGCCAGGCGACAGGAATTCCGCCGAGTCCGAACGGAAGGAGGTGGGTTAATTCTGGGGGAGGGACAGGTTTACGGATATAATGCGGGAGGTGGGATAGTACTCATTCCAAGCGGCGGGGAAAGGCCGGAAGCAACGAGTGTAGAGTACTCTGTAGATGGGATATAAATAGAACAGTAACAAAAAGAGTGGTATAAAATTGGTATAGCACCAAGAGAGTGAATGTGAAAGAGTAGAGTAGTAAAGTACGGAGAGGTTCAAAAGGAATGGGGAATGACGACGCTGGAGAATAGCCGTCCGTCAGGGAAAGACTGCCAGTGACTGCGCCACACTGTGGCTCTGATTCTAACGCGCAATCCTTTGCCTCCAAAAGGAAATCAGGAGAATTTACACACTTAAATGCACCAATCCAGAGTGTCAGAATGCCGGTGCCTTGGTTTTGGTCCTTGGTTGTACGCATCTTATAAGAAGACTATCATTTCTCGCCGCATCATATCTAGACGTGCTCCTTTTCCATCCTTGGGCACGATTTGGGCTTCGACGCATCGTCTAGTAATAGGATATTGGCCAGTGCTTCTGACAGAAAAGGAGAACTTGTCAGATTCTATTCAAACACCCAATCTCTGTCCCAGACACCTCATCTCCCAAGTAATCCCGTATAACAGCCTTTCCGGATCGCGAACAACGCCCGCAACGATGGAAATAGATCGCTCGGAATATTTGTATACGGCAATGGTAGGTCCACGATGCTGGTCATGTACTCTTGGATGCAGGGAAGGAAGCACGAGTAGGCATATATCCGCCTGCTCTTCTTGCAGCTAGTTCTTAACATATACCGATCAATCACCGAGTTCCATGAGGGCTCATCAAACGCTTCACTGTCGCCCTCTGCACCCTCATGGGGCTGAAAATGGCCTCCTTGAGCACCCCACCAACTGTACTCTGGTCGCTAACCAAGCAAGATCTTTTTTCTATTGATATTGAATGACACCGAGTTTCTGAATATCAAAATAATCGTTAATAACATCCATTATGTCTCCGGCCCGAAGCTTTCGGATGAGGTGGGGAGTCTTCAGAAGGAACTTGGAAAGGTAACTAAGAGTCAGGACCCGACACGTGTGGTGGATATACTTTAACCAAAAGAGGGTGGAGGAAGATTGTGAGTAGGGCATGAATGATGACTATTAAGTTTGTTGTAGTCTTTCTATTTGAAGCGGAGAGGACTGACCTGATTGCTGGGATCTGTCCAATGCATCTTTTCTTCTACAGATTCTGTAGTGGTTCAAGAGAGATTGTGAAAAGGTCCCATGCAGAGATATAATGGTTTGGTCTCAATGCAAAACTGTTTGTTTGTTGATGCAGTTGTATTTTCAATAGAGGAGTAGGAGAGTAGGAGAGTTCTATATACACATGGAGTACATGTACAGGCGTGGTCCGAATAACGTGACATGCACACATCGTGTGCTTCTTTGCAAAATAGTAGGGTATCCAGGTAGCGTGCAAATAATATAAACAAAGAAAAGGCAAGTCTATATCTATCAGTAAATGAAAATAGGATCACCCCATCCCTCAAGAATTCTTGGACTGGGTATCCTTATCAGCTTGGCCAGCTGATGAGCTCTCTGGCTGAGCGTTGGAGGCCTCTTTCGATGCTGGCGCTGCACTCTCTGGCGTAACAGAGCTCTGCGGATTGCTCACAGAGTCCCAGATAGACGAAACGTATGATCCAATCTGCGACAGCCATCCCTCCTCTTTAGCATCTTCGGCCTCTTCCTTCTGTTCAACTTCCCACACCTCACGCGGCAGAATCCGAGACGACGATTTCAATGACAAAGTCTCGTTCTTGGATTTTTGCTGTAGCAGCTCTGTTTCAAGAGCCACCAAGGCCCTCCGGGAATTTTTCTCCGACTGCTCCAGCTCAACCAATCGAGACTCGACATCCTCCCGCCGTGTAGTCTCCTTCCTCCTAGACCTCAAAGACTCGTAGACAATCAACCCACCGGCCACTATGAACAGGAAGGATTCGCTTATAAACGACGCCCCCGATTCAATGGCTTTCGACTCGGACAACGGACGGATATGAGGCTTCGGAGCCGGTTTCTCTGCTTCCGTCGCTGCAGCTTTTGCTTTTGCTATTGCATCTTCTTCTGCTTTGCTCTCTGCTTGTGTTTTCACGGTCGGGGAGGTAGGCTTATGCTTCCGGGCTGCGGCTTCAGCAACTGCTCGTCGTTCTGCGGTGGTGGTATCGCGCAAGAGACCGAGACGTAACCTCATGTCCATGCGGTGAAGCGACTGCGCCATGGAGATGCATATCCGTCGGAAGCGTTCGTGCTCGCGGGCCTGTGCTTTGAGTTGATTCTGGGGTCACGGAGTCACGGATCAGCATGAGCTCCCCAAGAAAGAGGGGCAGTGTGGCTCACCGCAATAGGCTTGGACAGTGTCCGAATGACGAGTGAGGAGAGTTTCAGCGTAAGAGACATGGTGGTTATTTGTATTAGGTGAAGGACGAAGTTTGTGTAAGCAAAGCCGACGAGGATATTAGAGATGGCTAGTTACCCACGTCGTCATCGCTGCCCGGTCCCTCAGGCATAAGTCCACATTCCTATATCGGCTTAGTGCAATGTGCTGTCCTGCTGACATAAACACCGCCCGTTGTTACGGCATTCGAGTCAATGTTTATCGATTTCCTCTTCAGGCAGTCCGTTTGGCGGCTGCAATCCTTACTTTTCGGCAACCTCATCGCTTCTTTTCCTCTCTTCCCCCCACCTGCTCCCGTCCCCTCGCCGCTGTCTGTCGGAGGTGCTTGCATTTCTTGTCTTTGTTTTTTTTGCTTAATTGGGTTTATTTGCCTTTTTTTCTTTTGAGCGTCATTATTGTTTTTGGTAAGTCTCTGAACCCCGTGTGCAATGCCTCTCTTTGTCACGGTTCCGTCAAGCTGTGCAGCTGCCGATGCGGAACCAAAAAGCGATGCAATTGACAGCTGACAAGGTTTAAGGATACCCGGGGACTGTAAAAGCCCTATTGTGACTATAATCAGTTTGCATTTATCGCTATACTTGATGACCGTTACGACTTTCTGGATATACTAGACCTCGAGTCACCGCCAGTTTATAATCGTTCGATGTTCACCTGAGAAAGGACAAAACCCATCATGGAGGCATTGACGCCGCGATCTACGAACCAGGTGATCAAACCTAAGGTGGCGATGGAGCGGAAGGTGTTGGATAAGAATGCTGCTGCCGCCGCTGCCAGAGCCAAACAAAAGGGCCCAGTGATGAAAGATCACCATGCACAACCTCCGCCGGCAATCGTGGTAGAGCCTGATGAGGAAGGGGAACGGTACACAACTGGCGGGTTTCTGGGCAAAGGAGGATTTGCGATCTGCTACGAAGGGAGGTTAATGCGCAATGGACGTGTGTTTGCGATGAAGGTGGTGAAGGCGGAGATGAAGCAGAAGAAGATGGAGGAGAAGGTATGCCTGCTATTCGTCCCACCTTTAGAGGTTCGTTCATACTAATGAAGTCGCGCAGTTCCAAACTGAACTCCAAATTCATTCGAAAATGCGACACCCCCACATCGTCCGATTCCATCGAGCCTTCACCTTCCACAACAGCATCTACGTCGTTCTCGAATTATGCCCCAACGGCTCCATCATGGACATGGTTAGGAAAAGGAGGTGTCTCAGCTTGCCTGAAGTGAGAAGGATTATGATTCAATTATGCGGAGCGGTGAAATACCTTCATAAGCGGCATGTCGCCCATCGGGATCTGAAAATGGGGAACCTGTTCTTGGACCACAACATGGATATCAAAGTAGGAGACTTTGGACTTGCCGCAATGATCATGTCAGAGAAGGACGAGAGGCGGAGAACGACACTATGCGGGACACCCAACTACATCGCGCCTGAGATTTTGGATAAGACAAAACGAGGACATACGCAGAAAGTTGATATTTGGTCCCTGGGGGTTATCTGGCAAGGACTCACTATCCTATCCACTATAATGCTTCGACTAACGAAATTGCGTTCTAGTTTCGCCATGCTCACCGGTTACCCTCCATTCCAATCGAAAACGCAAGAAGAAATTTATAAGAAGGTGCGGAATTTGGTCTACGTTTGGCCCAAAGGGTCCGAGTGCGCCAACGATATCCCGGAAGAGGCCAAGAGCCTGGTTGACTCATGTCTTAACCTGGAGGAGGAGCAACGTCCGGAACCAGACGATATCGTTGAGCACCCGTTCTTCGACATGTACGACGGTTGCATACCTGCGCGCCTCGATCCAGCGTGCTCTCATACCAAGCCGGTCTGGCTGAGGTCACAGACACCACGCGGCGACACCATGATGCGTGGTCATAGTCTGGAACACGACGAACGGTTATCCGGATACATCGAGCATGTTGAAGATTCGATCCAGCGTTACCGGGTTTGCAAGGCCGCATTCTATACGCTATGTGGTGTGGGGAGAAAACCAGATGGGACTGCTCGCAGGGCGGCCGGAAAGAATTGCAACAAAACGGCGTATGCTGAGTGTGCCGTGGAGGAAGAAAGGAGACTCAACCCCGTGATCCCGTTACCACCGGACTTCGTTTACAAATATCCCCATGATCCAGATGGAGACTGGAGTCTCCCCGATCCAGCGTTTCCGTCTCGCAAGGATGACTCCTCGCTGGATAGCAGTGTCCTTTCGAGCCGCAGTATGTCCCTCCGGCACAATTCGATTAACACGGCAGCACTCTCGCGGACACAGACGGCTCTACTGGCCGCGCAACAAAGGCAAAAGGAGTCCCAAAGTCACGCGGCTACTTTGCGACAACAGTCAATCGGACGAGGTTCGACACGTAAGGCGCCCGCAATCAACGATCCAGCAGGCCAAACTTTCCAGCCAATCCTGGAAGCCAAGTCTGCCGAAGCCGAAGCTGCTCCGGCAGCAGCTGCTGCTACTGGGGGCCTGGCCGAACGACCCATGCGACCACGCAGAGGCGTAGCTGCTTCTTATTCTGGAGCGATCCGAAGTGCAGACAGCAACGCTGCGGGGGCAATCACGAAGTCAAGCACCGTTCCTGCCATGCTGACAGTTGGCAAGACCCGTTCACAGTCTAGAAGATTAGAAGCTGCCAACAGCCAAGGGCTGTCTCGCCAGGCGACTGTTCCGGAGAGAGTCCCGTCAGTGATGACCAAGGAAGTACCGGCCAAAAAGCAACCACCTCCATCACGCCCAACGTCGAGGATGACTGATGTCGAAGTGCTGTCGACTCCAAAGCTCGAAAACAACGAGGAGCCCGTGAAGAAGTTGCCTGAAGCAAATTCCCGTCGCTCTAGGACTGAGGTTCCTACACCAGTGACCCGATCCGGTAGTACTAGCGGACCATCCACTGCCAGCAAACCTCGTTCGTCTCTTGGAGCACATCCCTTGTTTCACGCTCGGGATCCATGTCAGGTCGTGCCAAGGACCTCCGTTAGCGAGGTGAACACTGACTTGCGACTTATGCTTTCCCACCTTGCTCCACAATCCTCGGTCCGTAGACGGCCCGGTTCCAGACGCGAACCCCATGCGTATGTCATCAAGTGGGTCGATTACACCAATAGGTACGGAATTGGCTATGTCTTGGATGATGGCAGCGTTGGATGCGTTTTCAAGGCCGAGAATGGACAGCCAGCGAGTAGTGTTGTTTTACGAGCTGGAGAGAAGCACATTCGTCGTAAGGCACGAAGCCAGGAAACGAAGAGCTACGAGTATTCGGAGGTGGACCAGTTGGTGCCCCGGAATGGATTATCAATTGAGCTGTACGAGAACTGCGACAACGATCCATTAGTCCCTCGGAGCGCTGTTCGACGTGCGTTCATCCCACCTTCGGTCTTTGAAGTCAAGCGGTATCAGAACGGGTCTGGCGTCGGAATCAAGCTTCGCCATGACCTCCATGGTGAACATGGGCCTGCGGACTACGAGAAGATCAAACGCGTCAAGCTGGTCGACCAGTTCGGAAAGTATATGATTGGATCTCTGGGCCGACATGGTGATGAAGGGCTGGCAGATGATGACCTGACAAAGAGCGATGGTCAGTTTATCAAATTCTACCAGCGTCTGGGCAATGTTGGTGTTTGGGGATTCGGGGATGGCGCTTTTCAGTTCAACTTCCCCGACCACACGAAGCTTGTTATCTCGCCTGGTTCTACACGGACCTCATCGCCATGGATTGACTTCTACCATCTCTCTCCGTCCGCTGCACGTTACCTTGCCGCCAAGGGCAAGATGCACCCCTCCGGTTTTGACACGCGGGCTGTTGCCTCCGACGAAGCAGTGACCTTCCTGAGCATTGCCCACGGCACGTTGACGAACTCCGTGGATGAGCGAATCCGAGATGTACTCGAGGCGAACTCCTTCCTGGAGAAGATCCAGTTTATGAAAGACGTTTTGAAAGTGTGGATCAAGAAGGGACGACTCGGCGGTCGACCTTCACCCACGGCCTCTGAGGACGGCTCACCATCGGAGATGTTCTGGGAGGGCTCGCAAGAACGTCCTCAAGGAGGAAGCGGCGGCAAGTTTGTATGGGTGACTGTTGGCGCACCCGGAGGCGATGGCGAGTATCGATCGATATCGCTCAAGGAGAAACGGTCTGACGGTGAGGTGGACACGCTCAGGGAACGGTTAGAAAGATTGGGAGGAAAGGCATAATCGGGATACTACCCTTTTTTATACTTATGTTACGACTCATGACTTGCATTTGTCTTGGTTAATACTTGATTATTTTCCTATGGAGTTCGTCTGCTATGGGTAACTTTTGAATACACTTGTTTATACAATGCCTCTATACTATGCAAACCCCTCGTACTCGTACTCAGTACTCCACACATCAATCTCTAACCATATACGCCTGCACATGCCCTCCCGCAACCTCCTCCTCCTGCACAACCCGAAACCCCCTCCTCTCATACATAGGCTTGCCAGCCGGCGACGCAGACAAGAACACCGGTACCCCGTCGTTGTCTGCACGATCAAGACCCCATTTTAGCAGCATCGAGGCGATTCCTTTCCCGTTGTGGGAGGGGTGTGTGCCGAGCATGTCCAGGTCTGCGCGGTTAGTACTGGTAACTTACATGGTGTATAGGTAGGAGTGTATGCAGGAATGCGATGTACATATATAGAGAGTGGATCTGATGCATGCATGGATGGAGGACGTACAGTAATGCGGCTTCGAACCCATATATTCCTCCCGTTTCGCAGCCATACTGCCGAAGAATCGTTCGCAGAGGGTTGGATCGCTGCCTCGGGGCCATTGGCCTTCCCCCTCACCCTTCTCCTCACCATCCTCCTCCTGTTCCTGGTTTCCTTCTGATTGATATTTTGGAAACTTCCAAATCGCAAACGCTGCTATCTCCCCTTCCCCTTCGCCCTCCTCCTCCCCATCACCACCTGTACTACCATATGCATTATCAGGTGTGTCAACAACCTTCAACAAAACACGTCCCGGAGCAGTCGCTTCCCTGGCAAACTTCTCCTCCCACCACGCGCGCACGTCGGGGGTGCGCGGGAATAAAGTGAGATTGAAAGGGTTGGAGAAGGCGGCGAGGAAAAGGGTTGTTAGAGCGGAGGAGTCGCGGGGTGTGGCGGGATGGATATTGAGGGGCATTTTCTTTCTTTATACGGAGTGGCGGTTGGAGGTGTTTGGTGTGTGTGTGTGTGTTTCTATTTTACGTCGAGGATCGGGTATTTCCACGCTTCCTTGGAGGCGGAAGCGGGGAATCCCTGGTCCCGGTTCGGGACATACGACGGGCAGATCGGAACTGCCTATCACCTAGCTAAGCTATCATCTATCATCTAAATACAGGTAGCCCCCCGCGCGGGGAGCTGCTTGGGTTTTCACAGCTGTTCAAAGCAAGCTGAGCATCTTGGGGTTTTCTTGATACGAAAACCGAGAACAGGAGAAGTGAGAGAGAAGAAAGGAGGAGGGGGGAGACCACCATTGCTGGTTGTGGGATGGAAAAGAGCCATCTCTGGAACTCTGGAGGTGTTTGGTGATGTTGATGTCCAGATTTGGTTATCTTGATAAGTCACGTGGTATTATTTCGGTATACGGAGGATGAATTGAATAGTTGGTATTATTTAATATAATCATTTAGTTCGTGATAAATACATGTCAGGTCATTCCACGTCCATCCACCATCATTCATATGCACATTAACACCCTAACCCCCCTTGACCAACTCAAACATCAAGCACGATACTTCTCCGCACTCGCCCCATAATCACTCTCCGGACTCCGCGGCCTAGGGTGCTGCACCTGATGATGATGCTGCTGCGGCAAGAAAGGCCGTCTGGTATGCTCTGCCGGCGTCCTACTCTCCCCACTCTTCGTTGCTTCGATCTCGCGCTTCACGCCTTCGTACATTCGTTCCACGATTTGGATCTCCTCTTGGACGTCTAGTTCGCTGCCGACTAGACAGAGTTCTCGTTCGCGCTGCTCGATGTATTCCCTGATATTCCGCCATTCGTTCTGGTAGCGTTTCAGTCGATCGGGTAAGCCAGAGCCCTTGAGGTATGTGAGGATACCAGCCATGATGGTATTTAAAGCCCCGAACGCCGTAACAGCGGAATGCGGTCCACTGGCCGCACCAAGTGCTGTGATTGCGGCTGCCGCGACGACCTGGATACCCAAACAGACATTGATAAGAATGCTGAAAAACCGATACCGCGAGTCTGCGGATTGCTCAGCGCGCACGACGCGCTCGTAGATACCCACGTTCGGGGCGTGGCGGTCGGAGTGGTGCGGGATAGTGAGGGCGGGGACAGTGTCGATGCCCGTGAGGGCGCGGAAGACGAGCAGTTTGTCTTCTGGGGGGATGAGGTGGTTTCTGTCCGTTTGGGTGACTGTGCGGCGGATTGGTTGGATGGGGGGTTGAGGGTAGGCTTGGGGGTAGGCTTGGGGGTCGGTGGGTTCGGGGTTGTAGTTGTTGTTGGGTTGGTTGGTGGGTGGGATTTGTTGGCTGAGGGGGTGGAATCTGGGGAGGCCTGGTTCTTCGGGGTCCAGGGCTGCGAGGAGGCGCCAGATTAGGCTTCGGCCGCGGCGTTGTTCTGACATTTTGCGTTGTGTTGCAGTTCACGTGGTATGTATGGGTTTGGTGTGGTTAGGAGAATGGATGGAAGAGGAATGATTGCGACGCGACGAGCAGCAATAAAAGATAGCGCAGCTCATTTACCGCCTCGACTCGAAAAAAATCTCTTTACTTTTTCCCTTGACGTATCATTCTTGATCGAGTTAAACCAACCCTAATTTAAGTACCGCACGGAGCAGAGGAAGGCCATCGCCAAACTAGGAAAGAGGCGGGAGAAAGAGGCCGCACATGGCCCACGACAGTGTGATGTGTGTTTTAATGACCCAAAAGTTTTACTAGTTCGCGTTTATCACTGCTCATTTCCCGTTCAGCTGAGGCCGCTTTTGCCGATATGAGTTCCGGGAGGGGTCCCTGTACTAAACACTGATACGGACACGGGTGCCGGACGCGACTACAAAAAGCGGTCTCGGCGCGTATCACGGCCAATATTGTCTTAAAGCTGGAGAATTTATTTAGCTGTCAATGGGGGTTAGCCGGTCTGATAAGGGTCCCTCCACACCGCACGGTAAAAGTACAGGTGATAACTATGAATAGAGGTTTGCATGGCAGTATTATCCTCGGTAGAATTCAGAATGAACATGCACGAACCTGAATATCAAAAGCTTTTCTCTGCACAATCACATCACAGCAAGGATAATTCGCGTCGAGCGCAATTTGTGGTGTTCGGATCGGCCTGATCAACAGAGACTGGTGAGCTGAATTCGACGCCGGTACGGAACGGTCAAAAGTTTGGGCTCGACGGCTCGTCAGGTGTCAGCGTCGCGCATTGACTGGTCTAATGGGGGACGAGAGTCCATATCCACTGGACCCTGATTGGCATGGAGAGTGCTGGCTCCATATTATTCGGTTGCGTAGCTTGCCGGAGTCGGGACAAAGAAAGACAAGCCAAGTCAAAAAGAAAACGAGTATAAAGGACGAGGATAGGAAAGTGCGATATTTGAGAGCGAGGGAAAAAAATAGAAAAAAATCAAAAAGAAGAAGAGATGCGCGAAAGGAGATTCGAACTCCCGACCTTCGCATATCGTATTCCAAAGGATGGTTACGAGTGCGACATCATAACCACTAGACAACTCGCGCTATAATGCAAATTTTTACCAAGTGACATATAAGTGCCTGACAGGCTACCACAGCCATCCCAATGCGGTAATATGTCCCCTCACACAATTGAGGGGCATTTTGTCAACATCCACCAGATTAAATTGCAAGACATCCCAAAAAGATATACACAAACCCAATCGCATACCATGGGAGAGGTAGCATTCGAAAAGACAGAGCGCCTGCTCGTCACTTTCTTCAAAGAAATCCCCGCTCCGCTGGTCGCGCGTATCGAGCGCCAGTTCCCTGAGGCCGAGGTCACTATTTACCAGTCCCAGAAAGGCGTTCCTGTTCCAAGAGGTTGGTCATAAACACATTGCTACGATTTGTTCACGTTATTAACTGACCAAAAAGCGTTATGGCAAAATGCGACGCTGGTTTGCACATTTACCGATCTTCCGGATCTTGAGGATGCTGGCAAGTACGTGGGTTGAGAAGTTGACTAGTAGACTAGATGCTGATTATTCTATAGCATTAAGTTGATCCATACTGTGTCTGCTGGAATCGACCACTTCGTCCACCACCCTATCATCCAGAACTCTACCATCCCCATCAGCACCAGTTCCGGCATCCACGGTCCTCCCATGGCAGAATGGACCGTAATGAATTGGTTGACCTCTGAGAGGAAGTTCCTTCATTTGCGTGAAGCACAGAAGCAACACATCTGGGGAGATGTCGAGGAGTACATGCCCACTTGCACCGATCAGGTCGGGAAGAAAGTGGGCATTCTGGGATATGGGAGCATTGGTCGACAGAGTGCGTTCATTTGCCCATACTATCTCCCACTCGCAGCACTAACATGAATACAGTCGCAAAGGTATCCGCAGCCCTTGGAATGACCGTTCATGCATACACAGCGTCCCCGCGGCCAACCCCCTCCTCGCGACGCGACACCGGCTATATTGTCCCCGGCACCGGCGACGCAGATGGCACAATCCCAGTCTCCTGGCACCACAGCATAGACAAAGCATCCATCCATTCATTCCTCTCCCTCGGTCTCGATCATCTGGTTATCTCCCTCCCATTAACCCCGCAAACCACCCATCTCATCGGCGCAGAAGAATTCGCCCTCCTTACCGCCAACAGCACCCATCCCTTCAGCAAGCCGTATGTGACCAACATTTCGCGCGGGAAGGTCATCGATCAAGACGCGCTGATGGAATCGCTCAAGTCTGGGGAATTGGGCGGTGCTGCGCTGGATGTGACGGATCCTGAACCTTTGCCGGCGGATCATCCGTTGTGGGATGTGCCGGGTGTGCAGATTAGTCCGCATGTAAGCTCTTTGGGAAAGGAGTATTTCCCAAGGTCGTTGGATATTCTCCGAGTTAATCTGGATAGGTTGAAGGAGGGAGAGGAGTTTGTAAATGAGTACAAGCGGGGGAAGGGATATTGAGCCCGTCCCTGTGCATATATGCACCTTTTCAACTCATTGTCGGAAGGTAAGCAGTCATCTTTCTTTGATAGATTCTGAAGCCAGATACACAATTGCAGATAGAAATACAAGGCTAAGCATTCACCATGTATGATCTTAGATGCTGATCATGTGTACTCACTTGTCAAGACAAACCCTGGATCTTGCCATTCACTATAGCTTTTCTTTATTTCCTCTCCTCATAAGTATGTTCGCATATGCAGCCAACTCAAAATCCTACATGATACTCACGCTCATTGGTGATCGAATTCGACAAGCTCTTCCTTCGAAACCTCAAAACGACCAAAAATCATTTAGGGGGTGTTATAACCGTGGAAATGAGGGATTTCGACGATTTGACTCGTTTGAGAAGACTAGGGACTTTGAATCTTGTGTTCTTTCAGTCCCAAGGCATTGTTGTTGATGCATCCTGAGCAATTCCCAGAGTTCAGATCAAGATAAAACTCTCAGAGCTAATACAGACTTCCTACATTAGCCAGAAACGAATTTTATCTCCACAAGCAAGCTCTGCTAGTCCACTAAACTAGAGCATGCTATGACAATGGCTTGGTAAGTACCGCGTCTCGCTTGTAACAAGGAGCGCTATCTTATGCTGAATACTGTGTTTTACACACACCTGATGAATCTAACAGCTATGCCAGGGACTGTATTCCCATCCACCACTTCTTGAAGGGGCTGGAGGATTGGAAATATCCAATCAACACCCAGTATCAGGAAAGCTAAAGGCGACCGTCGAGATTCCAGATATTGATTGAAGAGCACTGGAGTATGTGCTAGATATTGGAAACTTAATCCACGTCGATTTTACCAAAAGAAGCGACTATTTTCAAGACTTCGACCTCGCCCTTGACGGCCTTGATGCTACCATCAAAGAGATATATTGTCGACCTGCCATAACGTTGCCACAGTCTTTGGATATGCGATGTCATACGCCATATTCGCCAGTTGCGATACTAGAAGATACCCCCCCAACCTTTGGGGATCTCAAGGCGTGTATGATCCCTGGCCGAAAAATGGAGTGGCAGTTTCCCGGACACAGCATGTATGACGGCAAACGGGGTCCTGAGGCTTGTCGGGGAGCACAAAATCCCCTGGATTTGGTGTCATAAATTGGGGGACGCTATGGAAGAAGTGGGGAAGTGGTTCAGGAAGGTTCTTGGTAAGCAATAGGGGATGGACACAGGTGTCATGAAACAACGAGGCTGATGCAATTCTTTCAGGCCAAATAACCTTCTATAAAAAAGGGACAGCTCCGTTACTCGCTCATCTCCACATAAAACGAGACAATCTTTTTGCGCCAAAAATCAGTTAGGGGTGGGTGGGTATCCCAATACAGCCCCGTCATCGAGCATAGCGCGGCCAGAGGTTAGGGAGGTGAAGTATCCGCTCTGGAGTGCATTTGGTATTCGATGGACCTTACCTTAATGGGCCACCAAGCAAGCAACAATATGGCGATGAGAAATCTAGACTCGTGCCCGAGGATATGGGAGTTAAAACTCCGCATGGCGGGCTTCCAATTTCGTAGCCACACTGATGGCCGACACACGAGAGAGCACTTACGACACCTTGACCTTTTCATGGTAGAAAGCCATATGCACGAAATTCCCATTAGGGGTGGCTTACTGGGCGTTACGGAAGAAAGCACAGACAGTCGTTAGGGTTAGAACGGTGATCACGTCTAAGCAAAAGACAGTTTGAGCAGGTGATAGTAATCCTGTCGGAGATAAGTTCCGCTTCTACCTACGAACAAACACCATGCCAGAGGCTGGTTAAGGGCCTTGCGAATCACAAAGCGGAGGGCTTGAAAGTATATCTCTCCGCAAAGTGAACATGTAAACAACGTTTACATCCCCCTGAATAACCCCCACGTTAAGACTATGCTAAGGCGAGACTTGTGATTGATGCGTACATCGTCGAGACCTATGGCATGCTCGCACTGGTCATTATGGCTGGCCACAATGGGCCGAGGATTGTGCCAATGACAATCTCAATACCAACAGATGCAAAGATTTTTTCAGTGTCACCGTTGAGCCTCCTCATCGGAATCTGTAGCCATTTGCAGACCAGAGAAGTTTGTTTGGCCCTTGATGTAGCCTGCGATTTGCCGTGGCACCAGGCCAGTACCAGTAGGACAATGAAGCGCAGCTTCAGAGCTCATATCGGGGAAGAGAACCGAGAGAAAAGCTGAAACGCCTTTGGATACCGTTCAGTTTTGACCGTTTCGAAATGAGCCTGAGATACTGGAATGAATATTGGTAAATATTCAAAATTGTAAAAAGATTTGCCATATCTCTTATGTTAAATCAAGGATATGATACTATGACCCGAGCAGTTGTTGAATGCAAGACCTGGCATCTTGTCCTTTCAGTCGCAATCAGGCTCAGGCCCTAGCTGTTCCTTTCCTCTGCACTTATTGCGCAGCTTATGATGGAACCAGAGACATGACTATGAACATGATCTCTGTGGGAAGAATAGAGTACTACTACAAAATTTCCGGGGACGTCGCGGTGCTTTTTATAGAATTCAAGCAAGCCATAATACCCGAGCAGATCGATCACTACAGGCAATAATCGCAGAATCCGTCGGTACGCCTGTCACTAAAGCATTATTGAGTTCCTCTATTAATGCATATGTACAGCATGCTCCTTCGTCAATCCGCAAGGCGGGTTTGATCTACCGGTTATGGGCATGCTATGCGATGTACCTTATAGCGTATCCAAAGCATAGGGGCCCCAGCAACCCATCGAGGGCCCAGAAAGCCCTTCAAGAAAGTCAGAGAGAATATACTGCCGTCCGTTGGCCAATAAAGAGGCCCATTTTGTAAGTTATACCCCGAAAGTTGATATTCGGCACTAATTTCCTGTTGTTCTGGTTGAATAATCGCCCACGATCCGTTCTTTATTTGTGGTGATTCGGTAGATGGTGATCTCTCCGGTTTCAACCAATTTCTTCATCGAAGCAAAGCGCTCGGAGATCCTGCCACTGCTGTATCAGGTCCTGTACAACGGAATTCCCGGAGCACGAGGCGTACACAAACAACATGTTTGATGAGCCTTCTCTCTGATTTCTCGGTCGTGTACTGGCTTATCTAAAGATCTAAAGTTAATTGTCTACGGATTGCAGACTTTGCTATATCTTCTTCAGAGGAGACGCACCATGCAGGGAGCAAATTTTTCAACAGGTAGGGACCACAGATGTTACAGTCTGTATAGACCAGCGCAAGCATTGTTTACAGAAATGGTCACTGGCCTATGTCAGAGCGACCTTCATGGCCAAAGCGTGTCTACGACAAAGAACACGATAAGGTCGGTATTCGAGACACCGTGAGCAAAACCAAGAACGTCGAGCTACATACCACGGCCGATAGTATGTTTAAAGTGATGAGGTAGGTGGTTTTGACCGGAATCTTTTGGGAGCAAATGATTGCTCAAGTGCCTGAATCAGGTAAAGGTCATGCAAAAGGCCGCCAACGAGGGAGCACAGTGTCGCCTATGCCTACCGAATCTCGAAGCTGAAGGTAAAGTTTCTTACGGGAGACTTGACTGCCAAAAACTATATGAGAGACCCGGAAGCATTCCTTAATGTTGACGATGAAGCTAAGAGGGATTGCGAAGAAGTTACGGGTACCATGGGAGCAAATGGTTGAGGTTTAGCTTACATTACTTCACCGACCAACAACAGAAAGATCGAGAGACCGTCTTACAATATATCAGGACGACTTAAGAGAGTCATCATTTTGGTAGCATGTCAGTCTGTATTTACAGAGCTAGCAGACACTGAGCAAACCGCCGAAATCGTGTTCGCGCATGAATAGGAGGAATACTTTGATAGCTATTCCACATGCTATAGTCATTCCTTTTCACCCACTCTTTCGTGTCCCATTTGAGCAGAATGCGGCGCGTCACGCAGAAAGCCGGGCGTCATTCCTGCGCGCGGCAAAAGTGTAAATAGGCAGATTTAAGTTGGTCAGTTAGCCCTATTTATTAAGGTTAAGTGTACATTACCTCAAGGACCGCGCAGAAATTATGCTCAAGAGACAGATGGAATTTAAGAAAGAACGATCCCATATTAGCATTTGAAGCGGATTTGGCCAAGAAGGTGAAATTCTTGTTTGACACGGCCGAGATTATCCTGAGACGGGCTATTTAAAGCATTGTAGCGTTCAAGAACTCCGGGGAAGCATTCCACTCACCGGGAACTCGATAGCACATTTCATGCTAGTCAGTGTTGCTACGCATGCAAAGGGATGGTGGGATACCTGCCGGCAACCGTCAAAGCAAAAGATGGAAAGGGGTGCTTCGACTGGAGCGGAGGGGAGATTATGCACACTCATGTGCAGAGATAACGGTCATTTGAATGGGACGCCAGAAAACAGGCATGTTGGGACTGTAAATCGTGCCTCGGTGGTTTTAAATCCACCGATCTTGCCTAGTTATTCAGAAATTGAGACAATATCGATGAGCATATTGAAATTCGCTTGGCGGAATTATACCTTGATATGGTAAATTGAGGGAGAAGGGTTGTTAGTTGTCTTGTGTTTCCAAGAAGATGTGAGTAGTCCTTTTTGATTCTTTCTCGAACCTATGGGAACGGACCACTAATATATTCCACTGCTTAGCTACATTACCAACTTCCAAGGCTGGCGTCAGGCGAGAACCAATGAGTACTGGGAGGACGTTTACTTTTCTCTCTGGGGCTTGACGACTCCACGGGGTGACTATTGCTATTATGCGGGACCGAACACCTAAGATACATTCTCATGGCAATTGGAGCAGGGTTCTCTGTATCTTGGATATTTCAGAATGTAGTATTTTATTTTAGGCTCTAGATAAGTTGTTCTTGGAAACACCCCTTCCTTATTTCACTCTGCTCGTAATTCTGTTGGCATCTCAGCACCTCTTGATGTTCCGAAAGTCAAGGCGTCAAGAGTGGCTGGCATCCAGGAACAGGAAACTTACTTCAATTTATATATTAATTCTTGATATTACACGTTAAAATCATCACACTCCAACAGAGTAAGCTTATGCAAAATAAGACCTAACCCCCTCCTCAACAACAACACCAATAACCCCACTTCCAAGAACAACCCAAGTCCATGGATTCGCCAACTCAGTCAAGCTAGGCCAGAAGCTGTTCTTCTCAGCCCGCCAGGTCTGCAATTGCTCGTACTTGTGCGGGTCATTAAGCTTGTAGCGCGATTCCTGGCTCGCTTCGTTCTGCATGTCGCCGCCGACGAAGCGCAGGTAAGCGTAGTTCGCAAGGGGGCCAAGGAGAATGAAGGGATTGAAGCTGTTGGCGGCGTTGAGAATGATGAAGGAGAAGTGGACGAGGGAGTCGCCGAGGTAGCTGCACGGATTATTTTCTGTTCAATGAAGATCGGAGATTTGGGGGAGGGGGAGCTTACTTTGGATGCCGCACGATACTCCACACACCGTGGCGGCAAAGATCAGACCGTTCCTGACGGTGCAATTCCAACTGCGTATCGGCAAAAGCCTCCATAGTGAAACCAACACTGAACAAGCCCACGCCCAGCGTCCTCAGAGCACACGACACCTCCGGCTCAACCGAGAGCGTCGACGAGGGCATCCGGAAAGGCAAAGTAAATGGAAGCGTGATGAAAGTCAAGAACGCAGCCTCGGGCAAGAACTGCTTAAAGAAAGCCGCATTCCAGAATCCCTTGTCCTGTTTCTTCAATTCATCGTAGCGCGGGTCGTCCTTGCCGCGGCTCACGGACCGCGACACGATGCGGTAGAACAGGCGCGTGCCCCAGAGAGTCACGGAGCTAAGCAGAAGTTTCTCGGTCCAGGGGAGGATGTTCCAGGCAGTTGTGAAGGGGATGTTGTCGTAGTACACGCGGCGGCCGACGGCGCTCCACCAGGCATTGGCGACCTGGCTGGAGGGCCAGTTGTAGTCCTTTATTTCGCCTCTGTCTGTTGCTCGCGCGGCGACATAGCTGGCGAGGGTGAGGCCGGTGTGCAGGGTGAAAGATGGGAGAAGGGTGGATTTTAAGATGCCGACGTCACCGGCGCCGAGGTTTATATCGGAGTTTCGGAGGGCATTGAGTGGTTGGTCCATGCCAACCACTGGCTTTGCGCCGTAGGCCTCCATTTTGGGTTGGTTTTGAAGGGGTTTGTTTTGAGAATTGGGGAGTTTCATGAGAACTGCGAACTTTTATGAAGCTTGTTTGACGTTGATGTCAGTATTATGTAACTTTCGTTCTACAACTAGTTAGTTACAAGTTAAATTCAATTGAGGTACCCCGACTTCTATGAAACAGGTCATGTATATTATGATATCATCACACCGTATTAGAAATGCATCAAACCTTCGCCGAAAAGCAAAATAACACCCAACTGCTGTATAAATATACAGTAAAACATTTGCAATATATGATGCGAAATATAAAATATAAATGAGTACCCCTGTAAATACACAATTAATCGGACTCCGGTAGATGACGGATATTGGAAAAGTCGAAATCGAGATGAGGAACCTCAGACTCCTTAGTCTCATAGTTCTTGTTGATCAAATCTGACAACCGATATTTCCAGAGATCGAACGGATACGGATCCTCCGACCCAGACTCTGTAAATGCGGCAAAATCATCTCCACATTGGGTATGTAGATCATGCGTTAAATGCTCTTCAATGGAGTCCGTCAACTCCGAAACGTCAAGTGGCATAATAAGACAAACATCATGCAGGTCGTGGCCATCGGGTGTCTTCTCAAGCGGTAATTTGCTGATTTGGATTCGTCGAGCTTTCCTGTCCTTGGGTGGCTCCTGTGGAAGGGCGTTTTGACGGATCAAGTATGCCCTCGGGTCGAAAGGACTTAGCGTAGACTTTGAAGTAGACGATTCGGGATTAAAAGGTAGCTGACTTTGTTGTTCATTCGGGCGCGAGTTTAGCGAGGCTCGAGCTGCGAGATATCTACTATGATGCGGTGAGTTTGTAGAAGGGGGAGTCTCAAGACGGTTCCTGGTTTCCTCTCGCCGTTGTATAATTGCTTCTTTCTTTCGGCGTTCAAAGTCAAGTGCTTGTTCCAGTTCGGGATTGGGTTGAGGTCCGGATAGTTGGTGCAGTCTGGCAGACCATTTTTCCATAACCGGGAATTCCTGTTGTTTGTTTGCAACTTCTGCAGCATGGCTTGGGACTCTTAAAGGATCCTGGTCTTGTTCCAATAGCTGAGAAGACGCAGTGGTGGCTTGTGTATCGTCAATGCCGTTCTGAGTAAAGAAGTCTTCAAAAGTCTCTGGCGTAATAGATGGCGACTGTTCCGGTGATCCAAAGTGCGCTTGTGCCAATTGCGTCAACGAACTTTCTTCCTCTTCTTCGTTTTCGTGCGGATGGTCTTCACTCTCACGAAGCCCCGGCTGAGTGATCCTTGAAAACCAAGTGTCAAGAGCACCATTGCCATAACGTTCCCTATCACGCCCTCTTGCTCTTCTTGTGCTACTCTGTGTAGAGACTGTGGGCGATGCTTGTGTATTCTGTTCAACTGGCGAAGGACGAGCATCGATAGGCGAGGTCGACGCCGAATTGGGATTGGAATTCGAAGCTGGTGGGCTTGGTAAAACTGAACTTCTCGAGGACGTAGGCGACATTTGATTCTCACCGCGATGCCTTCGCACAGATTCTCTCCTCGTGGTATTCGTAATGAGAGGAACTGCGCTTGGTCCAGCCTGGGTTCTCATAGGGGTGCTGAATGGAGTATTCAACTTGGTCATTGACCATGGGTTCAGTGCTTCTCGATCCCCGCTCCCTCTGCGACATTCATTCTGAGAATTCTTGTCCACTGACTGTGTGCTGAATTCGATGCCCCGAGAATTGTTAGGCAACGATGGTTTCCTAAAGGCTGGCGATGGTATAATAGACGGTTCCGGATCGTCACCCATCGCCGGGTCTTGTGAGACTGAGGGAACCGGGCTTTTTCGTGCCATGAGCAGTTCGAATCCATCGTTACCAGGCGCCCTTTCTTTCCCTTTCGATGATTGATTTCTCACGGTAGACCCAGATATATCGCCGTACATATCTCGGAAAAGACCTTCTACCAAAGAGAGAATTCGTTGCGGGTCTTCAAACAAAACGTCATCTTTGGCCGGTTCAATGTTGACATCGTAGCTCCCCGGTAGGCACTGAATCTGCAAGCAGAGAAACGGGTCATTTATTGATGCTGACTCCTCGCCACCCGAGCTGACTGAACGGAGATAGTTCCTATATAGTTTTGTGATATCGCGCGTAATTCCCCTTCCGATTGCTAGGGGTCTGCCGTCGACGCCAAAATACTGGCCTGCGTTATTGACCTTGGTAAAATCTATCCCGGTTAGACTGTGCCAGTTCAAAGGATCAAGGGTTATTACCTGCATCGTTCTTTGCAAGAAGAGCCACTACCTTGTAATCTGCGCCGTCATCTTCAAACGGCCATTCCTTGATCGTACAATTCGAGACGACATCCGTGCCGACAATCTTCAACGCTGCGTCGCTGAGACTTGCGCTTTGGCTCCCGGAATACATCCAATTGTTGCTCTCATTCTTCGCCTTGATGACTTTCAAAGATAGTCTCTTTGTTGGTTGGCATACAGCGTATGTCTGCAAGAGTATCTTGATTTTCGAAAGCGTTTTGCCCGCACTCTTCAACGCCGTCTGTTTCCGCACAGGGATATGCTTAAGAAAGTCCGTAATCCTGACAGTGGTTCCAACCGGATGAGATGCACGCTGAGAGCTAAAATGCGCAGTTAGTACCCAGAATATTCCAACATTGAAGGTACGCACCTAACCAACTCCCCATTCCTCCCATACTTGATAGCTGAACCAACCACTTCCGCCGCTACCCTAGTAGTAACAGCAACACCCCCAGACATCTCCGCCACACTAGCCAAAGCCTCTCCCCTAAATCCCAACGAGCTCCCTCCAATTTTCCTGAGATCCTCGACCGTCTGAATCTTGCTAGTGAAGGTGCGTCTGCAGACGACCGCATGATCTTCAGACGGGATACCGTGGCCATTGTCTTTCACCTGGATGACATCCAACGTGTTTTGGGATATCTCTATAAACACAGAGGTAGCAGATGCGTCAAGGGCATTGTCCAACAATTCCTTGACGATGGAGCATGGGTCTGTGATTACGGACGTTGAGCCGATTGCCCGGACGATGTTCTGGGGGAGGGCCGTAATCGGCATTGTGAAGGGGTATCAAGGTATCATGTTCATCAAATGGCCAAGTCAAGTCATAATATATAAGACGTCTTGATGAATATAGTCAATAGCGAGGAAGTTGTTGAAGGTGGAGAGGAAGAGTCGAGAGACGAAGTTCTATTTCCACGCACCTGATCGGCCACGTGACCAAATCGCGAAAAGCATCGCCAACTCGCTCTCTATCTCGCGATCTCTTGGGATATACAAAGGGCTCTACGAAAGATATTCAGAGCCTTAAAATGTTCCAAGGGCCATTTTCTATCTCGCAGTTGGCGATCCCAGCTGTCTGGGTCCTGATCACCTTCCTCACATTCACCTCCCAGTACTTTTTCCTGCATTTCGAAGCCGTGCCCCTACGAGAAAATGAGCTTTGGGCTATTAACATCCTCGCGGCATGTATTGGGATATGTTATTACCGGTCGTGCACGGTAGATCCGGGGCACGTTCCTAAGGACTGGAAGCAAGTGGAAGCCGAAGGTGTCGGTGGCCGGCAACGATGGTGTCGGAAATGCGAGGCGTTCAAACCACCACGGACTCATCATTGCAGGACATGTGGGAGGTATGTGTTTAATTTTCCCTGGTAAATGTGTGTATAACTGACAGCGTCAGGTGTATACCGAAGATGGACCACCACTGTCCATGGACTACCAATTGCGTGTCACACTTTACGTTTCCGCATTTTGTCCGGTTTCTGTTCTATGCGGTTGTTGGAATGTCGTATCTTGAATCGTGCCTTTTTGAGAGGGCATCGACTATCTGGGCTAGTAGACATCTTCCTAGTGTAAATTGTCACCTTGAACGAGTTCTCGCCCGTTTGCTAACCCTTCCACAAGTACCTCGGGCCCAGTTTGGGACAAATGGCTCATTTATTCATCCTCCTTGTCGTCAACAGCTTGACTGTATTTGCGCTTTTCATTCTCTTGGTTCGGGGTTTATGGTCTCTTGGTGGCAACACCACGACTATCGAATCATGGGAAATCGAGAGACACAAGACGCTTCTCCGGCGAGCCAGACATTTTGGTGGCTGTCTGGACGCTCCTGGGGGTGTCAAGATACATATTAGGAAACAAGAGTTTCCGTATGATATCGGAATTTGGGATAATATCAAGGCTGGAATGGGCGGAAATGCAAATGTATGTTTGCTCGCCATCTATCGATTTATGGCAGGAGCTGATGGCAGTAGGTCCTAAGCTGGCTCTGGCCATTTGCCGCGACCCCAGATCGTGAATCAGGTCTAGATTTTGAGATCAATGGTTTTGAAGGTTTGTTTGGTTGTTTGGCCACGGTCACTCGGTACTAACACCTGATAGGTCCCAATACTACTTGGCCGCCACCGGACCCGGATCGTATTCCCCTACCCACTCCAACCGACAGAGGAAACGCCTTCACGGTACCACAAGTGTACAGCTCCGCCCACGAAGAAATCGAAGCATTCAACCGTCGCCGGGACGAAGACCTGAAACGCGCCAGACCCGGCGTGGTCCAACGCCGTAAACGATTCCATGAACGATTTGATCCCGAAGATCGAGACGAAAGCGACTCAGAGCCCGACGAGCAAAGAAACTCTGATGGCGAAGAAGCATGGAGGAACTCCGAGGGAGAGCGGCTACATGATTTCGGGGTGGACGAGGAAATCGAATTCTACGATGAAGAGGACATTCCACTGGCAGTACTCATGCAGCAACGAGGACATAGACAGCAATAATATATTCAGACTTGTATGCAAATTATATCTTCTTAGCAATACCCCTCAAACGCACATAACCCAACCACTGGCTGCCGTCTTCTTCTCTCGTGACTACGGGCTCGAGTATATCACAAATCTGCTTCACAGCGTCATCCCGCTTCTCTTCTGGAAGAACATCCAAAAACGGCGCACCCATCAGTTTGATCCAACCCGCAAGTCCGCCATTAGCTTCAGCAGTGAGCTTTGTCGGCCGATATTCGATCTCCACTTTGTCAACCTGGAATCCAATGCTCTCGAGAGCATTCTTCATCCACACATCAGACGGAAAGAACCACGGGTTCGCTGCCTTCGCCTTTTCAGCAGGGACACCATGCTGCACGAGGGTGTAGATGAGCGCCGTCATGACCTCAGGGACGTTCCCGTGGCCGCCCATTTCGAAGACGAAAGTTCCACCTGGCTTGAGACTACCATGTATAGCGCGCAGAGTATTCAAACGCGTGGAGCTATCGCGTAGAATCCAGTGCAAAGCAGCGTTGGAGATACTTCAAACTCGTCAGCCACTCCATCAACCCCCAAAGCATCTGGAAGACTCACACTTTATCCCACGACCCATTAACAATCGTCTCCTCCTTGTCCAAATACCTACAATCCACAACACGCCATTCAGCCCTGGGGTCGTTGTAGTCCTTCATTGCAGACTCAATCATAGCAGGCGAGGCATCAATACCCAGAACGGAGTCCACCGCGGGCAGGAAATTGGCAGTGAACTTCCCATCGCCGCAACCGACGTCTAGGATCTTGTCTGTAGGCTGCGGGGCCAGGTAGCTGAGGAGCTTCTGGGTGAGCTTGGGGACGAAGGATGCAGAGGCTGAGTATGCCTGGTTATCGTTAGCTTATCTATACAAATGGATATGGTTCGGAGATGGATATGTATGTATACCTCGGCACTCCATTGGTCTTTGGTGGAGGACATGCTGGCTTCGTATGACTTGTAAGGAGTCAATAGATTTTGGATAATAATCAATCTTCTCAGGCAATGCTGGGGTTCATATATGTTTGTTGATTCACAGCCTGCGGTTGTATTTGGCCGTATCTCTGCTCAATCGGGGCCGATATCGGAGTCTGGGGGATCGACTATGATGTCATTCTACAGCTGTCATGTCCATACAGGAACTATACATTTGACACACTATCAGGAACACGAATAAAATAGCGCATATTTATACATGGATATCGCAGTAAACATAGAGAGCTTATGGTCTGAGCGGAAGCTGTTCCCAAACCGGTAGGCGGAGATCCCCGGAAAATGATGTATGACCTCTCATATCATATGTAATCATTCACCCATTGCTCAGGAACCTTGCATTTACATGTCCAAGAACCAATACCTTCGCTCCTTGACATCCTTCCACATCAACAATCCCTACACCAACCGTAATGCCAACCCCCCACCACCACCTCCCCCCTCCTCCCTCTAATCGCCGATAACGAACAAGAACGGCGACCAACGCCGTCACCGTCACCACCGTCAGAATGCCCGAACAACGCGAACCAGACCCAGACCCAGACGCCATGGAACTACAGGAGATCCATACACATGACAGATGCGAGAGCCACGACGACGGTGACGAGTACGCGCAGTCAGCAGCGACGGTTTCGTCTGGCGAGAATCGCGTGCCGTATCGGACTGTTGCGGCGCGGGTTGTCAATGCGGATGGGAGAAGAAGGGGCAATGGTTCGAATCAAAATAGCGGCAACAGAGATGATTGCCACGAGAAGGGTGTGCTATTGAAGGGAAAGAAGATCTGGGACGCTTTGAGCGGATTCTGGACAAGTCAGGTTGTCCTGGCAGTTCCGCAGAAGAAGAACCGCGATCATTACGGTAATCCCCTATGATTTCCCTTTGAAATACCCATCTTCTAAGCCATTGAATGCGCGACAGCCCTCGAACGAACCTTTCTCGCGTACATCCGCACCTCCGTCATCCTAGCCATGCAAGGCGTCCTAATCGCGCAACTCTTCCGTCTCCAACGCTCCAAATCCCAAGAAGCCTCTGAACTCACATACTACGAAGTTGCGGTTCCGTTATCTATCGCGTGTCATAGTGTCGCGCTGGTCGTTGTCGTGGTTGGCGCGTTTCGGTTCTGGAGGCAGCAGAATGCTTTGTTTCGGGGGAAGGTGCATGCTGGGGGGTGGGAGATGAATTCGATTGGGGTGTTGGTTTTCTTGGTGAGTTAAAGCTACCAAAGGTAATGATTCGATGGACAGATGGCTAATTGGTAGGTTGTGGTTGTGACATTGGTGTTGTCGGTTGTTATCTTGGTTCAGTTGGATCGGGGGCCTGCTTAGGTTGTGGGATATTGGTTAACGTGAGTTAATATTGATGTTGTACTACCTAATGTATGATTACGTTGTGCGACTTGTATGCATCTGCTGATATATAGTCACCCCATCCAAGAATACCCAAACTATGCCAACAACACTCCCCATCCAAGGTGCATAGGCAACGGAACCCTCTCGCCATCATCGTATACCCCCTTAATAATCGGAACCAACCATGTGGGCGCCGTCACAGCCAAAAAGCCAATGACCCAGAGATATCCAACGATTCTCCCCGCAATACTTGTGCGTGTATTATTTCCGAAGACAGTGGACCAAACATAGTCCACCAACTGTTCAAACATCATCCCAAATGCCTGTACAGTGAAAAAGTGCAGTGCTCCGCTGTTCTTAATCGGGACAGAGAAGCCCAGGTCCATGCCCAAATGAACGAGTCCGGAGAGGGCAAAGACAAGCACGAGGCGTAGTATATACGCTACGGCCGAGGAGCTGGGGATGCGCAGAACGGAGAAGACGAAGTTGATGTTGGAGACGAGACATGTGCGGAGCATTTGATGCCATGTTAATCTGCGAGGGTTAGTCTATATTCATATATTAGGGAACGGCAAGCATACCCCCACAACCGACGAATGGACCACGCATCTAACAGCGAACCGCTAATAGGCGGCCACAGTGCTGGTTCAGAAATTCCCAGACCAACGCAGGAAAGTGCCATAACAGAATAAACACCCACAATCACCGCCCTGATCAAAACAGCAAAAGGCACCATGAAGCTCGTCTGCACGAGAACGCGGTGCAGCAACGTCACATCCTCCCGCTGTCCCCAAAGAATACCCAACTGCTCCTCAAGACCGGCATACCGCAGATCAACCGTAAGAATCCTAACCAGCGAACCGCAAAGCACAGCCTTCCCCGCGCAAGTCACAAGAAACCCCCCCCTCCCGGGCACATACCCGGGCTCATCACGCCTAAAACAAGGCAATCGCTTTATCTGCCACGGCGTCCGTACTCTGCGATAATTATACGGCATCCAAAAAGCCCATGTCAACTGCGACGTCGGCGCGGGTGCCTTAAGCTGCGTCTTCTCCCACTCCACCTGCGCGCGATACGAAACCCGACTCAACAATAACAACTCAATGCCGTTAAGCACATTCACCCATCCCATCGCGGCGATCGGCCCCGCGGCGGCGAGAATTTTGCCTCCCGGGAAGATGGCCTCAATTTGCAGAGACGTCGCGAGCGCGATGATCACGATTGCGGCTGCGGAGCGGAGCGTGTTCGCATTTGGTGGCGTGTAGGAAATCGCGAGGCCGATTGTGGCTTGGATGAGGAGCCATTGGGGGAGTTGGGTGAGGACCATTTTCCTATGTCCTGGGATAATTAGGAATTAATTAGAGTGAATGAGAGAGTGAGCTACGATATCTACATTAAATTGAGTGTTCGTGAAGCTGACGGACTGTGGGGCGCGTTGGGCCCGGCGGTGTGTACGCTTTTCCCATTTCGGTAACTAACTATGTACATGTATGTACACCTGAAGCCGGGGGACACCTATAATTCAAGGTCCTTGATATCCACATTCAACCCATCGGGAACCACAACTGATTCCAGATCCCCAACAGCCGTATCTGCCGGAGCGCGTACCCTACACCCAGTTACTATCAGCACCAACCCACTTAATTAAAAGATGCTTGAAAACATACCTGACGAACTCATTTGTTTTAAAGTTATCCGGAAATGTCAGATCCTCGCCCACGTATATGTCGCGTAGGCTATGGCTAAACATTAATATCCATCGTTTATTGAGTGATGCCATAGCGGTGTAGCTATATATGTATAAATTAATGGGGCGATACGTACTTCTCGGCAAGTTTCTTGTCCTCGCCGAACTGCTTCAAGGCGTCGTCGTCATTATAGCTGACGTTGAATAACTGAATTCTTCTTGTTAGATGAATCATGTAGGGGGGAGGGGAAAGTAGCTAACGAATGATTTTCTCATCTTGTCGTTTATTTGATATTGATGCTGTCGAAGCAAATGCGAGTGTATTTCTGGTGGTCGCCGTTCTCGCGGTTCTTCGGGGGCATTTATATATACAACACAGAAGGCAAGGTTTGTATGACGTTTATCAAGGCGAAATAGTGGCTGACAGGGTCTAGAATGAATGGCTTTGCCATGAAGATAAAAGATAATGCATTGCATGTTCATCCATTCGTAGGTATGCTCCACGCTTGATTCTAATTGCCATGGAATCAGTTAACCTTAATAATATGCTCTATGTAGTTACTACTACTACTCTGTACGCCGTGTACACATTTCACACCTCGATATTAACTACATACAAACTGTTTGTCACATTTACATCTTCAAATCCAGAATATCAACCGCCAGCCCCGGGACTTCGACATCCTTAAGTTCATCTACATTCACGTCATCTGGTGCGGTGACCCTACCATAATCATCAACATCATCAACCTTGATCTTATCAGGTAGGAATGGGAGAAGCATACCCCATAAAATGAATCGGCGGGACCGTCGTAGTCGACTCGAAATCATCGGGAAATGTCAGATTTTTGTCATGGTAGACGTCTCGGAGACTGCGCTTATTAGCACTTATCATTATACTATAGAGCTGGTGGAGGGTACTTGTCGGCGAGTTGCTTGCCGTCGCCGTAATAGTCGTGGGCGAGTTCGTTGTCGTAGCGGATGTCGAAGGTCTGTTTGTTTTTTGTTTGTTAGAAGTTGTATGGTATATGGGGAGATATGATGGCTAACGAGGTCTTTAGTCATTTTGTTAATGTGCTTTGATGTTTGTTGATGATAGTAATAGTCGTTATGTTGACAGTATCGAGTGTTAAATATAGTAGAAAATGCGGGGGGATGATGAGGTCTATATGACTTCATTGGCGAGTATTTGCCGTTTTCAGGTAAATTATACTTTTTACAGAGAACAGAGGACAGAATACGTATGATATTGACTGTGCTGCGTTGATATTCACCATCTACATAGAATGCCATTTATCCATGCGCACTCCCACCTAAGCTCCCGTAGACCTAACTACATGCAACTATATACAAATACACTACCTCGACGAACTCCTCAAATGCCTCAAAATCCCGCCCTTAAGATGAAACCTCCACCTCTTCTTTTGCTCCTGATAATGTCTATCCCCTTCTGATCTCCTGCTCGGGGTTGACTTTGTCTTCCCCAGATCAAGCTCTTTACTCCCGCTTCCGTCGGACGTAGACTGGATAGCTCCCGAACTCACACTCCCGGGTTTACTGGGGTATCTGGATAGTCCGAAAGGAGGAGTTGAGCGGCTGTGGTTACCGTCGTCCGTGAAGATGATGCTTGAGGTGTGGCTTATGTCGCCTTTGTCTGTGCCGGCGCCTGTGTTGGAGGGGATGGGGGATTGGGAGCGGGATTTTGTGGAGGTGGAGGTCTTGCCGCCGGTGAATGGGAAGATGTCGGAGTGGGCGTGTTCTTTTTCCTCGATTGATTCTGTGTCGTGGTGGAGGAAGGATGTTGAGAGGGGTCGGGGTTGTTCTCGTTCTTGGTTGACGCAGCTGCGCAAGAACGGCAATAGTAGCGAATCATGTAGTAGATCACGCATTTCTCGCAGCGCTGTATCAAGAAGTGCAGGATCCGGAGGATAATCCTCCTTCTTCGTTGTCTTCGACTCAGTGGCGACTAAATCATCCCGTATATCATCCGAGATATTAATCTCCCGCTGCGCCCCAGAGACAATATACATCTGCAGTATGCGCTGCCACTGCAAATGCAATGTCCGGCGGGAATTATGATCCCCCACTCGCTGAAAACTACCCCTGTATCGACGAGCCTCAAGAATGAACTCGAGGATCTCCAGACAATGCGATTTTGATAGGAAGGCGATTAGCGCGCTTAGTGTGTAGGGGTAGGGTGCTTTGTCGTCGAGGAGGTCGTCGAGTTTAGGGCGGATGTGGTAGAAGGATGAGTTCATGGTGCATAGCGGGCCATTTTATTTTTGGCGTGTGTGTATGTGTTTAGGATAAGAGGTGAAGAGCTGAGGTGAAGACCGGTCATTCTGATTTGTAGATAACGTCACGACTCTTTTTGGTATGATTCGAGAAATTCTCCGAGGTTGCCTGTTTGGGATATTGGTTTTGCCAAGAGTTGATGTCAGTCACTTCGTAATGTGGGAAGAAATTTTACGCTTGGCTCAATGAGAATCGTAAAACGTCTGCACGTGCGAAATGGCCCATGTCCAAGTGAGACTATAGCCCACGTCTGAGAGTATGTGTTTATGGCAAACAAAAAGTATACACCGGCTTATCCGACAGCCACGCTCTTGCGCAACGCACGGCCCGATCACACACGAATCTAGAAGAAACGAAACCAGAAACCGGAAAACAAAAACAAAAACGGCGAACAAACCGGCGCGCCGAAAGTCAATGATCTCAAAACCGCCACGTATCGGTCAAGTCTAGACGTAAGACTGATCCATGGGAACCCTCGGAAACGTCCGTGGGCCATCAGATCATGCCAGGTCGAGACCAACACACGCGTGGTCTAGCCTTTGCTCTTGATTCTTATATCTATTGTCTTCTCCCATTGTGTTTCTGCTCAATCATTCATTCTTTATCTACCATTCTCTGTCTATACTTTTCTTTTTCTTCATATTTTTCTTTAATTGAAAATGTCCGTGTCTTACATTCCTCGCCTCCCCTCTCGCCTCTCAACTACAGCCATGAACACCCGTCTTAACTCTTCAACTTTCGCTCAGAGCCCCTCCAAACTCGCCCTCCTCTCCCACCACAAACTCCAACAAGAATCTTCAGCAGAGGAGCCGGATCTCCGCCGCTGTCTGGGGCATAATGCCGTCCTTTCCAAGACTATGACCGCTGCCCGCAGAGATGTCAGCCACTCTCGCAAGTCTTCTCGTTTCTCCGAAGACAACGGAGTCGACGGGTACATCAGCAGAAAAGAGGACCAGGGCAGCGTGGTCCGGGCGCAGCTTGCTAAGGCTGTAAGGGGATGGATTCGCAGACGGTCAATGGCAGCGAATGCGAATGGAAAGACAACTATCACTGCCACCACTACTGAGACCAAGACGCCTACCACTACTACTACCAAGACGCCTACTACTACTACCAAGACGCCTACTACCACTACCAAGACGCCTACTACCACTACCGCAACCACTACCGCCACTCCTCCAAACGACAATGCGCTGGCTCGCGTTGCGGCAAACAACAGCCGGGATACCGGCAACAAGTGGAACACGTTTTCCAGTCTCAAGAGACTTGTGTCTGGCCGGAGGTTCTGGGCGCAGCCAGTCTTGATGCAAGCTACTGCTGGTTGACTAGTGCGGGACTTCTATCTACTATTCTTTTGTGATTGTGAAGGAGTGGCTCAGCGAGCGATTGAGCAGTTTACGAGTATACGAGCATACGAACCACTAGAGCCAGGGGAGGACTACACACTGTATCTTAGAAACAATCTAGACCATCATCCACCTCCACCATTCATCCAGCGTATCCCGTAGAACATCCGATTAAAGGCGATCATGTTCACGTGTCCCTACTCTAAAAGAGCTTGATCACGATCTGCCTTCTTATTGGTCGATCGGTTACATGACAGAGGTCTAGACCGGTCTAGACTCTGAGTAAGTCTAGACACGTACCCCGGAGGAACACGCGTTGATGTCATCAGCCCTGTAGTGTTGTTTGGTTCCTGATTCATGGCTTGCGAGTACGTTATGTGTCGGATGAGTAACTGACGGTTCCTGACGTCCATGACTGCATCATTACTGCCGGTGATTTTTTTAGCTCCAGGGACGGAATGATGTTGTCTTCGGGGATTTTGAGGTAGGTTCTAGAACGTTGAGTGCTGGTAGGGCTGAGTGTGACCATTGTTCCGTTCACGTGCTGCATTAAATCAGCTAGAAACAGCATCAGTTAACACCGATACTAAAAAGCATGCGTCGCATACGTAGTGGATCCGTAGACATACTAAAAAGCACGGCTCCGACGTCGCCTAAAAGTAGTTCTACGGGTCGTGTGAGTATGGTTTAAATACGATTGCCCTATACCGATTGTAGTTCAGATTTTCGTAAGTCGGGAGAAAGACCGGCTACTATGTTATACCATATACCATCGTCATAGTTAAGGGGGCCAAATCTTCAAAGACTGCTTCGCTATACTACGTATGCTCCGCAATGATCATTTTAGTATGATCAGCCTGCGATGATAGAAAGCATACAGATCCCATCGGCATCATGAATGTAACTGTTTTCAATTTGACCTAGTAAGAGAGACTGTTGACAGGGTTAAAACAATGAGAAAATCCTTTACATATGTGATCAAGAAGCAAAAGAGGAAGAATCAACGATTTGCAGCTAAAAGCTGATGAACTCTCTCACAGACAGAGAGAGAGGAGAGAGAGAGAGAGATCCTAGGAAAGCAAATAAGGAGCCAGAGGCATCACCTTCAACAAGATGTAGTATCCATCCAAATAAAACTGTTACCCAAATTCAAAGTCCCTTGCTGGTCTTATAGCCTCCTCCTCAGCAGCAAAGTGGCTTCTGGCGGAACCGAAGTTGTGTTGATCGTATTTGTCACCTTGAAACTACCATCTTTGATTTTGATGTCAAATTTGGAGAAAAACAGGTAGATTATGATTTTGATCTCATGGACCGCCAACTGTCGACCAGGACACGCCCATCTGCCCATTCCAAATGTCAAAAAGGATGGACTAGACTGCACAGCTGCTTGGCCTTTCTTCTCCCACTGGAACCCATTGAAGGCCTTTCCCTCAGTTCCATAATTGTCGGGATGCTCATGGGCTCTTGCGATTAGTACCATACATATGGCGTTCTTAGGAAGTACATAAGGCCCGATGCGCACGGGCTTTGTTGTTTGCCGAACAGGGCCCCAAGAATCGCCTTTGGTGCGGAGGGTTTCTCGCATGAAAGAGTCCAGCAGGGTCATCTGGCTGAGACTTTTCACGGTCATTGTCCCGTGCAAAGGTGCAACAGCTTCCCATTGCTCTCTGATGGCAGGCAAATATTCCTCCTGCTTCTCGGTAAGCCAGATCAGGATCCAGAAGCCATGTTGAGAAGGTCACCACTTTTGCTGTTAAAGGCAGGACGAAACATGTTGACTACGAACGCGGGAAGAAGGGGCAGCTTAAACGGGCCCGAGATGCCAACCTGCTTGATGTTCCTCCTGTCCCTGCCGGCTTCAAGAGAAGTGACCAACCTGACGTGTGCCCGATGCCCGAGCCCTCTTCTGATGAGGAGGGAGAGGAAGAGTGTGGAGAGTAGATCAGGGAAGCTGAGAGTGGCTATGGCAAGGCGCAGTAATCAGTCAAGGGTACAATTATTCTTTCATGTATATAGCTCTTTTACGTACATAGGGACACGGAATCTGTGAAAGAAGGGATACGACATCTTGATGACCCTTCGAGTCATGTATGATAGTATAAGCCTTTACTCGCTTCAGCCATTTTCAGTACAATACATACATAAAACATTCTTATAATCTGTACTTGAATATATTACTTGCATCATATATATATATAACGCGTGACAGGTATATACTATGTAAATTTATGTTACATGGCTAATATTTTTATACAACCAAAATAGGAAAACCTTGGCAAAATTATGCAAAACAGGTTCCATCAGGTCCGACTCAGGTTCGAACCTAAGTCGGACCATTTCGAAGCCTAGGTATATCTGTCTTCAAAATCCCTTTTACTGCAAAACTTACTCCCGGACATTGGCACATTGATGTGGGTCAGGCTATGGCAAGGAACGGCATCGACGATACTATTGTATTCTGTGTCTGTCTGGATGGATGAGGGTGGATCTCCTCTATCCGGCAGTTGTGTGTGTGGGCTCGCTAGTGCGGGCCAACCAGGAGCGGGGCATATTAGAGCCTGAGGCTCTCCAACAATTGATTGTCCAACCAGATGATGGCGGTCATGTGGTCATGAACGATGGTTACCCAAAGCCGCAGAGCTCTGCTTTCTGAGCAAAACATTCTCACTGCGCACTGCTCACTCATACCTCTACTATAGATACATTGAAAACGCTACCACCATGCCTCTTGGAACACGCGAGGGTGCTAGCCCTTGGTCACATTGTGATAATGTGCCTCCTAGCCGCTCAGGCGCTCGCACTTGCAAGCCTTTGTTCGTAAATTGCTCGGCTGCCGGATGCACCGCTACCTCCGCGCACGGGGTGTACGATTCGATGACTCTCAGGATCGGCTTTTCAAAGTGCTGCAAGCATCTCGACCGCAATGAGCTCGAGGAACGGATAGACTATAGTAGCAGGCAGTTGGACACGAAAATGGTCACGGTGATCTTTTACGACTTGGGACTGGGCAAGGATGGACAGGTCGAGCAGTTGTCCGCGTTCTCCATCAGCGGCGAACATTTCAGCTCCATCATCAAGACGACAGTCAGGGCAAACATGAGCCCGAACTTGAAGAGTCTATCTCCTATGCTCTACAACGCGCTAGCGTCGGAGCCTAAAGACGCGATGAGGAGATTCATCCAATGGATCGACATGATACGCGGTGACACGGACATGAGGAACGTCGTGCTTGCTGCGCACTTCGGGTCCTGCCACGACCATGTTTACTTACTCCGGACAATGATGAGTTAGGGCATCAAACCACCTGAGTTCAGGCTTGATGACTCCCTCGCGCTCTTCAAGTTGATCAAGGGTCAGGACCAGCAGGCGGACATTGTCTCACTCGTGGCAAAATACCCGCCGTATTCTGTGCCCTACACAGCTAACGATGCGGACAGCGACGCGCGGGCGCTTAGAGTCGTGGCCATGGACGAGTTTAAAAATATAAACCAAGCTTGCTACACCTTCAGTATCAGCTGTGAAGATTTCATGGAGAGGACGGGTTTGAACATGCATGGGATTGGTCACCTGACTTACTCCAGAGGAAACTCATCATTCCATTTGGATGGAGCAATAATTTGTGAAGAAAGTGGGAACATAATCCGCATAAGATGAGACAAACGTGATACTCAGCATTTTCTGATTGCAATGTTCTGGGGCATGAAAGGTCTCATTGTCTTAATCGCAATGACAATTGGTTTTTATATGCAAATGCACTTTTTCGTGTTAAAATAGGCCATGATTTCCAACGCCTACAGAGAGGTTATCTACTCGCTTGTGAATTACATTAATCATAATGCCATATTCTAGGTCACACTGGACTATTCTGAAAATAAAGAATACTCTGACTTACACCGTTGCGCATCAAGACAAGTCATTTGTCCTGCTACCTTGCCTTGGTTAAATACAAGCTTTATTTGGGCGTGGCCTTTAACAAGAGTTAATGAATGTATATACATGGGGCATTAGTTTTCAAGATGAAGCACAAGGCATTAAATGCAGTGATTGCGGCGGGGCTTTTTCAAGTCTGGGTGGCGCCGCTCGACATGGGGCGTTTTGTAAAGAAGCCAAAGCGAAACGCATTTGATGGAAGACTGGTACCTGTAAATCCCAGCGAGGACTAAATATCTGAAGCGTGCCCAACTGCGCTGGAACAGTCAGGGTTGAGCCAACTCCACAATAGGAAAATGCATAATAAACAGATTATCTATTTGTTGTCTCCAGTATGGTGTCTATTTACCATAATTGTGGGTGTGAAACGTGTCCAAGTACAATTCAGGTCGCATTCACATGAAATATATAATCGACCAAGATTACTGCGTCACCTCCCTTGGCTGAGCAATTATTTCATCCCAATCATCCAACTTTCGCTGCTTGTTATCTTCCAATCTTTTTTTGGATAAAAAGTCCCATTGCCTCCCTGTCCCCAACTCCAAGTAACCTCATCCTCTCCTCGCTGTGCAGCAAGTTGTGTTGATCTGGAGCCATACCACCATCAAATAACTTTGCATCCATCATTGGCCATACAGCATCAAACGCCCAACTCTTCCGCGCGCCATAGTTGACCCTAAAGTCGCCATGCTCCCAACTTTCCCACATTCTCTCAGAAATCCGCTGTCCTTCAACCAAGTTTCCATTAGCCATAGCAGCGCCCCCTTGGCGTTTGAGCACCCGGAGAAAGGTCTTGAGGCGTGGCTGGTAGGTTTTTGTCCAGTCTGAGACTCCACGTGGCCATTCTTCGGGCATTTCCAATAGTAGCCACCAAGGTAGGATAAATGCGAATTCTGCAGGGGCAGTATATGTAAATTCCTCAATGACCTCTGCAGCAGAGTTTTGGGTTCATCACAACAACCGGATTTTCTGCCTTGGGAAAAATACTAAATACCCGAAAGCCCTCAGTACGGCACTAGGATTCTTTTACTACGAGTTACGCTGGTATACAATTTGATCTTTCGAGTCTAAATCAAGTAAACAAAAAATATATGGGTCGTACTTTATGGATTAAAATAAGAATAAGGGAAAAATTCAGATATAAAAGTATAACACGTAGTAGAGAAAAAGAAAAATATCGCATTTGCCATTACCGATTTTCCTCCGTAATTCCCGTCGCAGGTCTCTTAGTCTTGGGCAGTCTACCAAGACGTGGACTATTGTTTCTTTGGCCCCATACTCGCGTGTATCATCGCCTCTGGCTGCAATGAGCGTATGGTCGTAAAAAATGTCAAGGTCAATAATTAGTTAGTGGCTATGTCTTCCGCCCTTCAGCAGCGCCAACACATCAGGTAGACCGCATCCACACCTCTGATTAGAAAGTGAATGCCCAACTGTTATGGGGTTCTCATACGACCCCGGGAGGCCACGAACGCAACTAAGACCAGCGGGGGATGGGGGATGGGGGATGCTTACCAGCAAGGGAGTAAGAGACGTACCATTATATATAGTTTGCTCTGTTCTGTTTTCTTCCTTTTCTCCAACGATTCCTTCTTGTCAATAATCAAGACTGCACGGGGCTATTTAATAATGGAGAGTTAATTACTTAAAAGGAGTGATGTTGACTCTACATATACACACAGAGCAGCCGAAAAAGCAAGACCTCATGTAAATTCATTTCTTAGTAATAGATAGGGGAGCAGAGAATATGAATCAATCCACTGTATAAAAAATAGAGGGAGACAGAATCAGCTCAAAGTGTCGGTCAATTTAAACGAGGCAAAGGAAACCGGAAGTGGAGGCGAGAGGGCGCAGCCGCAATTTCCGGGGAAAAAAAAAAAAAAA